ATAGCTGTGAATGTGGCTATGTTTATTTAACGATTTTTTGGTTTACCACGCTTTGTACTGGTGATTATAAACAAACATACATTTTGAAAACGCAGTAGGAGTCAAGTTTGATCTCCCAACGCTTTGCCATTTTCACTGACCAAAACCGTTGGAATCTTGTTACCCTTGCGATTTTCAGAGGCATAGTATGATCATTATAACTGTATTTGTCTTGATATCCCCAAGCACAAGCGGTATCTGATTTTAAATAAAGCATCTTTATAATATGAAAGAAACTTTCCTGGATGTCGAGAATGTGTTAACGTTAAACAAGCTTTAAGACAAATTGTACCGTCTTCGACTGCCATGATGTCCATTCTTCATATCTAAAAATGTATTACCTACAGCGGACCTGTACCAGAATGCTAAACTATTAGAGGCTCGCGATGATGGTGTTGACATATTGATTGTTTGGTGTAGAAATCCGATGGATACATTTGATAGTTATATAGAATTAGATATCAACGTTTAAATAAACCTTGCCACCGATGACATTGTGGAAATCCATGTCGATTTTCTTGTTACATTTCCTTGTGTAGCTATGTTCTTGTAAAGATCATTGGAAAATTTCTTAAATCATTTGACAAGAGAGAGTGATAAGTTCAACACGTCTATGTAAAAGGTCTGTAATGATTTTGGTATATGATATTATTAGAATCTTTATTATCTGTTTATTCATAGTGGGTTTTTTTATTTTAAATACATCCTTTTATCATGTGCTGGTAGATTTAAATAATATTTTCTATTTAGAAAAATAATAAATTAAATAATTGTTTTTAACGTTTTTATTTTGACGTTTTTTACGTACGATTATAAGTTGCGTGAAATATAAACTGTTACGTCAGATGTTTTGTGTGTGACCTACAGGTTGACATATAACTGGGTGTATATGTCAAGATAAGTATTAAAACTGGCGATTTTATGATATAAGTTCAAAAAGGTAAAGTATGGTGTTCTAATTATGATATATTACCATTATGTTTTATAATTCTTGCATTTCTTATGTTTCTTAATAAGCATTTAATGGAAGAAAAAGTAAAAGTAAAATTTTAGTTTGTTGACATGTTGTCGACGAATTATGTTGGGCGGGTATTACTTTTCAATTCTTTATACGTCTATGGCAGTTTATCACTAGTTTAATTTCCTGAATTTAGTTCACATATTTTCGAGTATGCGTAAAAAAAAACCTGTGTTCGCCATGTTTCGGAAACAAATGACGTGTTGGGTTTTTTTTCTCTTTTAATTAAAATGTAAGGGCAACACCTAACAGTCTGTGTGAATCATTGTGTGTTTTCGTATTTCGTGCGTTCTTTTGCTGAAAACTAACAAGTACGATAACTAGTGTTAAGTTTCTCTTGTAACCTCTTCTATCATTTTATCACTTTGTTAGTCAAAAATAGGTCTTCAACCGTACTGACGATATTCACTGTGTTTTTATTCATAAAACACAATTTTAACCTAAATTTATAGCCCGTCGAGACTTAAACATGTATTCAAAAATTTTTCAATTTGAAACATTTTAAAATGCTAGATATTCTAACATATTTTCACAAAATTATGTATAGCTTGAATATTAAAATATACATATAAGTAATACTATTCTACTTTTGTTGAATTCTCATACTCTACTTAGGAACCTACCACAATATTTGAAGTATTTTCAATTGGACGCGTTAATGCTCTCTTTTGAGTGAGATGTATCACTTAGAAGAAAACGTGCAGATATCGTTCAGTGCCGATCATATATCCTTCAGAAAAACGCGGAAATATTAATCTTTTTTGAGTGAGATGTATCACTTAGAAGAATCGAAAACGTACAGATATCTTTCAGTGCCGATCCTATATCCTTCAGAGAAACATGAAATATTAATCTTATTTCAGCTTTGTGATATATTCTCCCATAATTTCTCAGAATTCGCCTCTTACATTTTAAGTTGACACCATGACTTTAAATTAATTGCAGGAGAACATATCTTTCGTTGCCGATCCTATCCTTCAGTCGGAACTCCCAATATAAAATGGTTTCTATATTTGGCCGCATAATAAATATATTAATCTTAGTATATAAGACAGCATTACGATTTTATGATTTCCTTTAAAGAGTGACAAGGAACTGTAACCAATATACCTATGATTTACAACCCGCCTATGTTCAGTTAGATCTATGAATGGATGTTACATTCAGGTAATTGTTACAAAAATAAAACAATATATTTCAAGTTTGACTCATTAGAAGTATATTAATTGCACCGGGAGATAGTGACATAACAAATAAATGTCATATCTCGAAATAACTGAAAACGTTATACACTATTGTCTAAATCATTATTCATTCATTCGTGTAAGAAAACATATTTTCGGGCCAAATTGATACGTTAGATCATCAATTTAGCCTAAGTGACATTCGGTGCACTTTTGGTTTTGCTTCTGCAATATCTATAAACAAAAATTAAAAATTAAGCACAATCGACACTAACGCGTGGTCCAACGGACGAATTCGTCAAAATCGAGTAGCGACAGCAAATGAAAAGTGATTAATGATTTCTATAAAAATAAAAAAAACCCATTAAACAATAGAATACACAGACACGAGTGGGATAAAAATGTCATATATTATGTTGTCAAATAGTCTAGAAGTTTATTTTAATCCCATCTATGGGGACTGTTTCCGTTTGATATGACAGCGTCTGTTTATAAATGATCAAAGGCATCAATATTTAAATGGAACGGCATAATTCGTAAATTTTGGTTATACATTAGTGTATAAATGCATTTATAGAGCACCTGAAATCGACGCCCTGTAAAGGTGACGCTATTACATTTTCGACAACACCAAAAGTCGTACATTAACAAACAACACATATTATGATCGCCAAAATTCAGCAAATTTAAGAGTGTTTGTTCAGGCAACTAAACCTCCAGCATGGATATTTTATTTACCAGACCATACATAAATACACACAATCAAACCCAAACACTGAACAAATATCAATCAGATACACGGAAATCTGGCATTGTGTTTATTCGTGCTACTGAGTCGCCAGAATGTACGTGAAAATTTCATTTAATAATGCCAGGTTCCCTCTATCACGATTTGTGCTGCGATTGGAATCATGGATTTAATCGTGGAATAATCGTGGTGATCCTATCAGGTCTTATCATATATTGGGGTCAGTCGTGGCATTCCTGTTGATCGTAAAGAAACGTATCCGAACGCATCTGCACGTAGCAGATCGTGGTGGCCAATGATCGCCGAGTCACGCCAAGGTTTTGCCATCTGACCTGGAAAAGTGTGAGAACGTGGTGGCGTCGCGAAGGTCGCGAAACAAGCGTGGTAACATCTCCATGAACGTAGTACACACGCCGTACACACGTGGCAAATACGCTGCGAAAATTGTAACAATTATAACGGCGACTTCATGGCGTCTTAACCACGATCCTCGCATGTCTGCCACAACCCCGCCAAACGTTCTTAGGGCGTTGTCGTGGCGATATTACGATGATTTCACCTCTGTTACGCGATTGCACCACGTCCACATGGGGCTCCCAGTGCGATCTTATGGGGCTCTCACTGCGTTTATAGAGTTCTTAATAAGACCATGGCGAGGTTACCAAGCTTGCATTACGCTCCTATGGCGACAATGCTTTTCATGTTCGACTTGTTATAAAAACAGGAGATTCAAAGTTCATACATCAGTGTGCATGTCGTCTTGAAATTTCCAAAAATCTGACCAGCTTATATAGTCGCCGTGATTACGTGACAGAAACGCACGTGCAGTCGCGATACACGTAGAAGACGTGTGGTAAGAACCTAGTCTCTAGGTTATCCATAACCTCCGAGTCTTCAACGTACGGAAGGTCTGGGACCGTTGTCAATATTTGACGAAAAGTACATTGCCCATGCGTAACCGGGAGTTTGTCTTTTTAATGTAATTGATTATCCTGTATCTTTGACCAAGTCGAGTAAGAGTTTTGCCCCTTCCCGCAATAAATCCCATAATTCTTGCATTAATATAAACAAACATGAATCGTGACGACGAATTATGATTAATTTTAAAAAAGCATATATTAAATGGCCCATGAAGAGAGAAATTTTACAATAAAAAAAATTAAGAGTGTTGGATATTGAACTTGCAATGCAATCAAATGGATTTTTTGAAATGGCATTCTTAAATTAATTTCATGGGCGTCAATAGCTTGTTTTGGGACTAGTTACCTCCCTTAGACTTTTGTCTATGATAACGTAAAAGACCAGATAATCTAGCCGATGACTAATTATTCTCAAGTGTTGACAACACATCCAGATTAATACTAGTAGAATATTTTTCTGGATGATAGAGATTAGTAAGAACCGCATTGGCGTGGTAAGAGCGCCGCGGCTTCGCCTATGATCGCCGTTGCCAAGCCAATACATATCAATAGAAACGCCATAAGCGTCGAGAAGTTGTGACAAGCGCGACGTGTGAAGGCGGTATAATCGAACAGGTCGCGGTAAAAGCGCGATTTTTTTTCAAGTTTGTAATTTTAGGGGGACTCTTTCTCGCGTTGTGTTCACGTTTGCCGGCGACCTTTTGCATTTTCTGGTCGCCGTACGGTCGCAGCAACGCAGTAAGAACGCCACCCCGATCTGACTGGGCCTTAAGGCATCGCACGACAGTGGGAACCTCGCATTAGCAAGAAAGATAGTAGTACGGAATGAAATACATAACTCAATTGGATTTAATACGGAATAAAATACATAACTCAATTGGATTTAATCATGTGGCTTAATCGCCAGCAGGACGAAAACTTCGGTTAATAGCTGAAGATTAGCACTCAAAGAAAAACATAACTTAAGGGGGTCTTTTCTCAAAAAATTATATGTGTTCAAGATTTCTTACAGCTGATCAGCTATATTATATAATTATGATTGACATAATGCTAATAATATATTATTCAAGATTGTAAGTATTCCATCTTAATGATATATGAATGTAAACATTGTTGTTAAATGGTTGCACGGATGACGCATCTTTCATCTATCAGATCTGTTTATGGGTTGTGTAAATATTGTTTTACGAATGCGTTCGATACCTTGGTGATCAGTATAAACTTTGAAAATTTAAACTTTTGTTTATAACTTATTATGTAGTGCATATGCATGGACCCCAATGATGTACCCTTATGTGATAAACTGCATGGCTTTCTTTTATTAAATTGTTTGTTGAGTAGAATGTAGGTCTTTCGTGTACGGAAAGGACATATCATCCCTTTCTTTGTTCGCACTGGTTTATAATTTATCAATGTATGTGCGTGCATGTTCTTAGCTCAATCATATTTGTGAATGCATTGTTTTCGTCCAGCTTTTTATAAATTATTTCAGTTATCTTCACGAAATGGAAAGGATGATTTCCCACACGAAATTTGATCAGCTTGCTTTTCAATATTTCTATTCTCATCGTTGAAATGTGGTGAATTTGAGGAATTATGATCAATATTTCACTGTTTTTGTTTAAATGAATGGTTACTTCTACAAGTATGCTTGAAATCGTCTCTGATTATTGACCGTCATGTCAATGATTGTTCCGGTAATGTTTATTACAATTTGTCAGTTGTATTGGCAGTATAAACACTGGAGTCAATCTGTCCCCCCAATAACACTTTCATACAATAGATTTCTATTTATATTTAGGTGGCCTTCGGGTGGATGTTATCATTCACTGTCATGTTTTTGGGTGTTTGATGATAAAATGTAACCGACTGTGATGTAAAGTTGTTTAACATGTAATTATTGAGTCTCCAAGCTGTGTTGATCCAGTTAATCCCTTGTTTTAATCCCCCGTTTACCTACATTTTTACATTAAAAAGTCAACATGACCGAGAATACGTTTTTACTTGTCAGTCAGATTGACATTTCGAATGCAGTTACGGGAATATTGATAAAGGGAGCGGGGTGCACCCTGGAAAAGAGGGATGCACAAAATAAAACCGGTCTCGACAAAAAGGGAAATACCCATATTCGTCCTTGCATTTTAGTCCGTGTTCGTCCTTGTCATTATTCACAATATAGATACATGCAATTTAATACAGTTGTTAATAAGTCATTTTAACGGTACAAGGTATTAACCTACAACAGGGGTGTAGTAGTGTAAACGTCCTTATAAGACACATATAGTTAAATACCCGCAAAATTTGTTTCGGTATGACCATAAATGATTGTTCTTTTTAGGAGGGGGGGGGGGTCATTTTTGTCTGGAACGTTGTTGGATGAAATTATAAAGACTTTGGGGACAATAGAACAGGCATTGGAGGTCACGTCAGAACAGATTTTGAAGGAATTTATTCTGTTTAGGAATGTTTTAGGAACTGGGTTTGCTATCTTGAACCATCATAATGGTTTACTAACACTAAGTAAATATCTATAGTGCTAGTAGTATCAACTTATACCAAGCCACGCCAGTAAGCTAATATATTATAGAATAGTATTTTAAATAATGAACTGGGTGGGGGGGGGCAACCCCTATAAAATCTTTTATGATATTAAAAAAAAAATAAGATTGTATCTGGATTATCAGTGACGCAATAAAACAATTCCTTCTAAATAATTCATGAATTAATTGGCAACTTTAGATAGATTAACGCCCTGCCCTTGGGTCGCACTGGATAACACCAGGCATAAAAAGTGAAATAGTTTTCTTCGGGATTTGCATACGCGTTATATTTGAACTAAATGGTCCGGTATATTGAAATACAACAATGGGGGTAGACTGAAATTTCTTATTCTACAACGTGGCGTTGACAAATTCGAAATATTAGTGCCAATGAAGCGGGTTGTCTCAGTACCCGGTTTGGCTCTGTTATTTGTGCATCAGTTATATATCTAATTGGTTCCTCGTTTCCATATATATTGTAGATCATTTTGTATAATAGCAGAGGATTGATTTATAATATCGCTTCATTTATTTCAACGCCTTTGGGGATCACTCTGCTAGAGAGAGTTTTAACAATCAAACTGTTTATTATTCATATTATTATTTTCCTGCAGCTAGTCCTACGGTAGCCGCAAAAGGTATTTTTTTTTAAAAAAAAATGTTTAAGTTTCAACACTTACTTCTTTGAACATATTTCATTAATTCGGAAAGCAGATATTTTTAATAACCCGAGATGGTATGCCTGGGTATTATTTTATTATGCGTCATAATAATTTGATAATTATTGTATTTTCTTACAACCGCTTTTATGTGTTGCATGTACACTAAGAATGAATTGCGGTAGGCTTGTGTATTTATTTCCGGCTATCTGAACATCTGCGGTTAACCTTGTTTATTTAATGCTCTAATTTATTTTTCAGCATGAAAACTGTTCAGAATATATTAATATATGTGTTCAATATCTAAAACGTTGTATATCTGTTATTGTCGTTTAACATTTTAGAAGGTCCTTTCTATATAATATCCATATGTTCTTAAGTCTGTTACGCACAGTAATACAATGTTACTAGATGATGACTGACAGCTGCGTCAGATGCATATAATACAGTTAGTAGACCCAGTAACTATAATACACGGTAATGCCATTAGTAGACCAATAACTATGATACATGATAATACCGACCCAATAACTATAATACATGATAGTACCATTAAGTAGACCCAATAACCATAATTCATGATAATACCATTAGTAGACTCATTAACTATGATAATACCAATGGCTAAATATAAAAATATGAAGAGGTCATGGCCCTGTGTGTAATACGGAAAGAAAATATCTTAAATATTCCGCTAATATACCTTTAATGTACTTTCAGAGGAAATAGATCAAAGTGATAACAAATTTGAAGATGAACAACTACACGACTATCCTGTTTAACATGACGACGTCGCAAACTACGACGGACCTAATTAACACTACGACAACATCTACAGAGGTTTTGCCCGAGGCTATGAACGACATTACTTTCGACAGCGGAGTAACTTCGGCTGAATTAGTCGTCATCGGTGCAGGCATAACAGTAGGAATATTAGCGGTTAGCGCCATCTTATTACGTTTAATCATGCCTTTAGTGAGAAAATCTTATCACAAGAATCGGATGCCGAGTAAAGAACCCATTGAAGACGACAAAAACAGGTTAGTAATTTATTACATCGCCTTATTTAACATACATTATGCAAATTTCTTTATTGCCTGAAATTTTATAGAATTTATTAATGAGACATTAATTAACTTATCCAGACCATAATTTAGCGGATTGGAATACATTTTGTGAAGGATGATTAAACGTAAAAATGGATAATCGAGACTTTGTTTTTTTATCGTACCGACTTTAGTGATGATGATCGAGGCTAGCCTAAAATTCAATTGCTAATATCTCGGTTCAAAGTGGAGCAATTTGGTCTGAAAATTTCAGCATATTCTATTTATGTTATCTTTTTAACTATTATAGCGAGAACTGCCAACTCTTTATATTACTTCGCAGAAACGAATCCTTATAGAAAACAAACTGTCAAAGTTTCCATTATGAAGACTAAAATAATATGTTTTCGAGATTTTCTCTTCAATTACCCGGAAGACATTTATTAAAACGACTCCAATGAAATTTGTTTTTCGTTTTTTTACATTTTCTAGGCGTTTTTGTTTTTTAAAAAAAAATCTTACATAAACCTTACAAATCCATCTCATTCGCCCACAGCCTGATTCAGTTCATCAGTGAATTCTTTAGTCTCTATAAAATTGAGTCTGAAATACTTTTAGAAAATGTAGCTTAACCTCATAGTTTTATTGCTCACGAGATTTATCATTTATCATTTATCAATAAATATGGTTAATTATTTTATACATTCATGATTTATAATTGGCAACAAGCTTTTTCATCAGATATAGAAAACGACCGAAAAAATTATATATAGTAACGTTTCCCTATATAACAATTTTGAAAGGCTATTGAACTTTGTGGTGTTTTTTTCTTTATTTTGTCGTTTGGTTTAGTGATACACGTGTCTGATAAAAATTTAAGCTTTAAGCTAAACACTCAGACACCAAATTAGCTTTCATAAATCATTGACAACTTTTTTTCTTTCCAGGCATTTATTTGCACCAAGTACACCCACCTCGATGATGTCAAGATCTTCTCGATCATCTAGTCGTACTGGTGAATGGTCGGATAGTGGTAGCGATAGGACCAAGACTACATATGCGTCAGAGGCTAATTTAATCCCCCAAAATTCTTCTTACGGCAATTTACGGGCGCAAAAACTGGTCTATCCCATGTATTTACCTGAATCAAAGTAAGTTCTTTATGATCATGACCGACGATCTATGCCTTTTGGGCACAAAATTCAATTCCATAACAAATGAAAAACATCGGTGCATTTGAACAAAAGATATAAATGTGTTGCATAAGGATCAGAACTACAATTTATAGATCGGTCAAGACTTTTTAGATTGGAAAAAATAAATAATGCCACTACCTTTAGGAAGGGGGTTTGGGCGGTCTAATATCATAAGATCTGCCACTGAGTCAAGTGGCGTGGGTTCAATCCCACGTGTAATATGGAATAGGGTCGCCTGCCCAACATAGTGGGTTTTCTCCGGTTTCCTTCAATATCTAAAAATAATTTTGAACCTATAATTATTCTAAAAATGACCTAGTTTGTGTCGAGTTGACGTTAACCCCCAATTGCCTATCTCTCCCACTTTATAGGACAATGTTAGTTGTTAGTTGTTTTCAAGAAACTAATCATACTTTTTGTCGATTGTTATCAGACTAGGTCGGGATGTGCTTGGAGCCATTATTTAAATATGTCTACATAAAATTATATTTCGGAGAAGATATTTAATTCAAGTCTTTACTGTGACTAAATATGCGCAACTTTTTTCAGTTCTGCTTCAATTGCTGATGCCGACAGATTGAACGACGATTTGATATCTGTTATATCAACTAATACGTAAGTTTTGCTAATATGTTTGGATATATACACGCACAATTATAATTACTATATACCTCTCTGATTTAGGTCAATATGTAGTATTGAATTGGTTGATCAGCACACCTAGAACTATCTACTTTGAGAATAGATCTCTGTCCTGAATGGCAGCTATAATTGGAAAATGAGTGTACTATTTTGTTATGCGAAATGTCTTGGGGGCCATGGTGGCTCAGTGAGTATGGTTCTGACTTATTAACGATGAGGTCATGGGTTCGATCCTGGTGTTGGAAGAGCAGATTCAGCCAGATGTTCCAGTCTGGTTTCCATTTGTCCGTGGTGCCGACAGGATGATTGGACGAAAAACCGTGATAGAAAGAAACCTTGTTAGTTGGGGAATAGGCGGAAACGCTGCTGTCCCTTACTGTATGGCGGATGTCGGTCTTCGTTATCCCCATTGGTGTTAAAGAGTAGGACGGTCTACTGTATATAGCCAAATCACGCGTCGACACGGACCATCAAAGATTTCTTAATAATCACCACGTAATGGATAGGCTATCGTATTATGATTGCTATTTGTTTATTATTTCAGTTTAGAAGCAGCTAACTTTGGAGACGCGTACAGACAAAACTGGGATCAAACCTTCGATCCTTATTTACAGAATGACTCAAGGTCAGTTGATATTACTATGTTTCTATAGCTTGCGATTGATATCTCCCTTCATTATAGAAAGTCTTTATAAATTTATAAAACCAAAATAGCGTGATTGCTTGAACAACGCGAATGTTCAAATCTATACAATATCTCAGTCATCCGATTGTCTAGAGAGTTGATTATGGGCTTGGCATGTGAATAAATGTCGAAATGATCATTTATATTATAACATCTGAAGCCAGAAAAGAAAACTGTAATAGCTATTTTAGCTATTTAAAAGTTGTTTGTCGTTACGTTTATCGTTAAGGCAACATCGTCTTGTGTATGCAATGAATTCTCCTCCTACTTCGCACCCGTTGTGTCATGTGAAACAAACATGACCTCTTTTGGTCGATTTTTTTATAGCCGGGTATTCCCTGACAATTGCAATGTTTTGAGAAGGATTTGAAGCAAAACTATCATAAATTAATTAGTTTGAATATGTTTTTAGTCCAAATATATCATCAAATCACCCAATTTGTACCCGGGAATGTATATTAACAGTAAGTAGAGTTATATGTATGTTACTTATTAAAATATACATACATATGACATGTAAGTAATTGATTATACCTGTATACATATATAGTTGATAAACTTGTCCATTTCTTCTTGTCAGTTTAAGCTACATTTCCCATCCATCAGAAAACCGTAAAATACCCGATAAAACTAATGAATGGTATGCCTCTGAAAGCCCCATGAGAAGAGACTGGTGAGTTAAATGTATTATTAACATTTATTATTGTTAATATGATAAAGGGTAGGCCTGTTATTCGACTCTCTTACATCTCAAAATAATTCCAACGGGTAAAAGCATGCAAGGTTCGTAACTTACATCACTGAAAAAACATGTTTCCGCCAAACCCGATAAATGAGCCCCTTATCCAGACCTGTGAGAGGGGCGAATGGTCTAACAGTCTAACGCGTGCGGTTTAGATCATTAGGTCTCTAAATTCGGCGAGTGGTGTGGTTTCATGCCCACACGTGTACGTGACAACTGCTTCAGACCACTACGCGCAGGCGAATTATTGAAATAAAATTGTACCAAATGACCTCGTTTGTTTGAGTGGACGTTATATCCCACCCTGTCTCGCTTCATGGATCCACAGCTGTAATTAATATTCTTGTCTATTAACAGTGTATTTTTTCTTCTAGGGAACGAAGTCAAATGAATGGTGAGATGTACAGACATGACATTATGCCAACTAAACTGACAAAATTATGAAATCAATAGAGAAACCTATAATCATTTTATTGAATGTCCCCATCATTCTCTTCTCCGGACCTCCATTGCAATCGTTCGACAAATCATGTGATATCATTGATTGCAATTATGCTCTTCGATTATTGAAGACTATTACTTCTGATAAGAAGTATTAAATATTTTCGCGTGTCTTGGATTATCATCCAGTAAGAGAGACGGTATTCCTGCCTTTGTAAATAATTCACAAATAATTCCCCTTAGTTAAATCCATATCCCGCTAAAGAGTAGTCAACCATCTGTGTTCATAAGAATTCCAAGCAGTCTATATGTGATGCTATGTTAGTATTTTCATTCCTTAAATCATTCTGCACAATTTTCAATCCTCAAATTAAATACAGACTTTAATCACATAAAGCTTACACTCTCACCAATGAACACACATGCAATATATACCCAATCCGACCCCTTTTGTCACCTAAATAAAAGCATAAAAGCGGTTTGGCTGTAATAAATCATTTCCAAAATGCCAATTTAGTGCTTGAACATATTATATATATATTGTCACCAAGTTTAAGTTATTATATATCCCCCCCCCCCAAATGCTTATATCCCAGTGCTCTGCTATGTGATATTGTTATAAAGTTCTTTATATAGTTATTATGTAAATAAACGATTTGTTAAAAATTTATACTCTCTTATTCTACTTTATTTAATTTTCAGTGATTCAAATTGACTTAATTCACTAAAACAATACATAAACCGGACACATTTCTTTCATTTTATTTTCGGTTATTTATACTTTATCGTGGTCCTGGGTGCGTTCAGTAATGCGACAACTGTTTCTGGTCAACTCTTCTTCATCCCACCAATCCAAACCCATGATACAGAAAATTCCGCAAAATTTTTTGAAAGGTTCTTATTACCCAAACATTTGATTGGTTATCAAATAATAGCCTTTCTCAAACGTGTCCTTAGATTCTAATAAAGTGTCCGACCTAGTAAATGGAATGAAAATTAAATCTCGAAACTGACAACAATAAAACTGACATTCACGTGATTGATAAAATGAATGTTAAGAAGAAAAATGTCTACAATTAATTATAAACTACTTGGATTAAAATTCATTCATTAAAGTCATTGCAAACTACTGTATGGTGAAAGTTAAATTACGGTATTACAAAGATATGATGAATTAAAAATTTGTCAACATTTTGTGGACCTCTTTTTAATTAAATGTTAAATAATCAATTTGAGTACATTGTGGATTAAGACGTAGAAAATGACACACAGTTCTAACTAACGTTCACACCATTCCCGTTATGACGTCAATAATGGAGTCTGGCAAGTACGTTTTAAGTCGGCAGATCACCTAAAAAAAATAAAAGAAAACAGGAATTGATCAAGAATTTGTTAAAACAGGTGTATTTATTCTATTGTATTAGCTGATTTCCCCACCTCAAAACGTTTAAATTGCAGGTGCTTTTTTTTTTATCTTCAACAGTTAGTTTTAACGTTTTGAAAATAAGAAATAAAGGATTAAATTCCGGATATTAGTCAAAAAGAGGAGGTGGGGCGGGTTTAACGTCCATTTAAGACAAGCGGGTTATGTCTAAACTATTATTATTAATATGGACAATACTAACGCATTGATTGGAGACCACAGACCCAAAGTGCCACGCTTTAGAGCTCCATAGCAAGATCCATCAAAATTACTAATGGGCTTTTGCTTTTGAAATGGTATCTCTCCCGCTGTGTGGTGTGAAATTGAGTTCCTATACATGTAACTTACAGATCTGGGATCCACAAGACCATTCGTACCGCCAACCAAATACCGTTCACGTGGGTTAGGATCAACCAATGCACTGGCCATAACATTAAGTAATGGTTGAAGGTGGGGGAAGCCGGTTGCTATGGAACCAACCATGGCATCTAAAACTGCGTCAATATCTTGTTGGCAGTATACTTTCTTTACACCTTTTACTACATCTGGTGAGTTTTCGAATTCAGTTTCCATTAGTTTTCTGTTCCTATTAATCTGTAAAAAATCATTAATTTCATCACATGAAGATAATACTAATAGTAATTACAGGAGGACCGCACCCCATGCAAACAAAACCCACACACCAGCTTACAAGACACACAAAGTAAACATACATTGCAATGAAAAACAAACGGACATGTCATATCAAGTGCGGTGCACAATTCCGGGCCTGTAAGGCTACAGACTTCACTCAAAATGAAACAAACTCACAATCAAAATAGAGAAAAACTTGGCAATGAATACAAGAAAGGAGAAATGATGCGACCGATCTCGAAGGTGGACGTCTGCTGAATGGTGTTTCTGCCAATTGACGTCACAGGGGCGATAATCCAGATCTAATTTCGGAAAACGATAAAATGATAAAAAATAAATAATTTATGAATAAAAATAAATAGGTAAAAATAAATAACTTGGGCATGGTGTAATAATCATTTACGTGTTTGGTAACCTACATGAAATGTGATCGACCCAGAGTTCCTGATCAACCATCATATTAGGTAAGTTCCAGTGATCATGTTAATTATCTTGGGGTAATCACAGTAATCGTAGGTTACATTGAAATGTACCCAGGTCAGTATAAACTGATACCCTGTGATACCATTTACTTTCAACAGCGGACATCAAAACTTACAACAGGTTGATGAAGAATTGCTGTAGCTTGACCAAAATGTCCCGGTTCTATGATGCTAACCATTACACCAAATCTAGACATTTCTAGACGAAGACTGTCAGAAAATGCTTCTACTCCTGCTTTAGACATACAGTAGACAGATGACATAGCGGGAAATCGTATAGCTCTTTCACTTGACATGTTCATGATACGACCTGTTAAATATAGTAAGATGGTCTGTGAAACAAATGAAACAGTTTCCAGTAAATTCTGAATTATTTGTATCACATGGGAATGATACATTGAAAGTGTAAGACATATTTCGTAGTAAATCTTACATGTTGACATGACTTATATCCAACCCTAACCCTATTGAGTATTTAGATAATTGATAAATAGTAAGTGTTTTGACGATGACTCCGCACATTTTTGCCAAGTCAGATATACGTATCACAGCAAAAATAATACGTGACCTACCTTTTGATTGTCGAAGTAAAGGGATGAAGGCTTTAGTGACACGAACTGTACCATACAGGTTTATATCACCAACCCGTTTATACTCGGAGATATTCAGTAGTTCTATTGGACCTTCTGTGGCTATTCCAGCATTATTTATTAAAGCCCACAGTACCAAACCTAGCAACACATCGAAGATGAAAATATTGAAGCCTATTAGTAAGTGCAGGAAAAACGCGCATAACATCCAAATAAATACCCAGAAGACAAATAAATTGGCGGGCAAAACAATAAAATACATAACACGCACATTTTAAATAATAAGTGATAAAAGTACTACCAAAGGTGGATGGGACAAGCCGTAAGCGTCCATTGCGCTGTGCAGTCCCTGCGGTTACACACATTTTACTTAAAATGAAAACCATCTCACAACAATGGAGGCAATTCATAAACACAAAACACTAAAAAGGAAACATTTACCAAACAATGTATTCTTTCAGGGTAAATCATCATCAAACTGATCCGGTGCATTCGATCACACTCTATTCTCGAAGGATATCGCGTTACTGTTACCTCTGAGGAACAGATTTGAAGCACAGTGGTAACTGAAAAAAGGGGCCATAACCTGTACAGGAAGTGACACATTTTCAGTAAATATTCCGTTATTTAGTTCAGTTACTTGCAATTGAACTTTTTTTTCTGGCTTCAAATGTTATAAATTATTATTTAGAAATTAATTCACACGACAAGACCATCATCTCTCTACATCATCGCATGGCTTAGATATTGAGTGGATTAAACGATGCACGTCATATTTATGGCTATTTCTTGTCAAACTTTGAACATTTATAACTTCTTTCAGAATAAAGTAATTTGACTGAAATATTTAATATATCCATTTTTCATAATCTATTTTTGAACTATTATATCAAGAACGACCCACCCTTTCTGTACATCTTGCATAAAGTAGCCTACAGATAAATAAGGGCAACTGATATGAGACATACCATTTTCTTTACATGTATTTTTCACATATTGCAGACTGTCTTCTACTTGTTCATCGTTAGTTACATCTAATTTAACTATATGAATTCTCTTAGACGACCTTGACCTTAGTATTTCAGCACCATTACCATCTGGATCCAAGCAACCAGCAAATACAACAAATCCTTGATCATTAGTTGTTAATGCTAGTTCGTGCCCAATACCTAGAAAAACAAAAACCTTGATCATTAGTTGTTAACTAATGAATACCTTGAAAAACGTATCCCTAATCATTAGTTTTTGGGGGATCACGTGGCTAAGTGGGTAAGGTGCTGGCTTGCTAGCCTGGAGGTCGGGTGTTCGATCCCTGCATTGGCCGAGAAAGTTCATCTCGATTTTCCGGCGTGGTTTCCCCTTGTCAGTGATGCAGAACGGAGGGCCTGACTTGGACAGCTGCCTAGTCGTTCGGATGGGACGAAAAACCGAGGTCCCGTGTACACATTGGCGTGCACGTAAATGATCCCTTGGCAGTTGGAATTCGATATAAGAGTAGGCCGTAGCGCCGCTGCCCGGGCAAAATTCCCCTCATAGCACACTGTATGGCGTATGCCCGTCTTCAATTAGCCCAGGTTAGGTGCAGAAGAGTAGGACGTTAAACTCCATTTCATTTCATTTCATTTCATTAGTTTTTGATGCTAGTCAATGTCCAATATCTGAAGAACAAAGCCTTGATCAATAGATGGTATGCTGGTTTGATTATTAATGATCATTAGTTGTTAAATGCTAGTTCGTGTACAATTCAGTGAGTAGCGGTGGATCGCTTAACTGAAGGTCCCGGTTCTATCCCGGTGTTGGCCGAGGAAGTGGTGCAGGACGGTCGGCCTGGCATGAAATGGAGTCTAGTCAAGGGCGGATCCAGGAATTTTTGCAGGAGGGGGTTTGCCAGGTTCCTGAGACAATGTATCCCCCCCCCCCCCGCATGGTCTCTATCGTCATTTTGGAGTATATACATACACATTGAGCTTTTTAAAGAGAGAAATTCAAAACCTCGTTTGACGTCAATTTTTATGAATTAATACAATGACATTGTGATTCAATTTCATGGATGCAAAGCATTAATTGTGATATCACATAATGTCTATATCATTATTTCGTGCTTTGAGTGCCCACCCTGTCCCACATCTGACGATAAAGGATAAAGCACACGACCGAGAAACTTTTCTCATAAAAAGTGTTGATTTACAAAAAAAATATGTAGCTGAGCAGTGTCGCCCCCCCCCCCCCTGGATCCGCCCCTGCTAGTACATGTAGTTCGAAGGCTGTGCACACCTTGGTATGCACGTAAAAGAACTCTTGACGGTTGGATGTCAATACTGCCCTCTGTTACACTGCATTTGATCAGATTAGATTTTAATTAATTTGGTGGGGGTGGGGGTATGTGTTCTTAAACCTAGGGCTTTTACATGGTTGTCTTCTTCCTTATGGGCACAAATCTTAAAATATTGGATTTCTTCGTGGGTCTATTATAAACAACGCTTTAAACATTTCTGGCAAACTGGATAGTAATAATTTTCGAGGACCTAACTCCAAAATAAGTGGATAATAAACGTATACTCGAACGTGTATATATACATTGGCTAGAGCAGTTAAGGGGAAATAATAAACAAAAGGGATTGAATTTCAACCGGTTCATGTCTGTATCAGTGATTCTCAACCAGTGTGTCGATATAATAGATAGTATATAAATATTGATATTCTTGTTGGGATTGTAAGTTTGTTTGTCTGCGGAATGGTACTTACCAGTATCGCATCCAGTTATAAATATAGCTTTTCCTGTCACATCTATTTTAACTTCTTTATTTCTTTTGTATATTGTATAATGATAAACACCATATAACACTATAGATAGCATAACCATACAAATCAGTTCATATATAAACATCCATACCATTACAATACCAGACCATATCATTAGTCTCTTATAGTATGACGATGGTATGATCGGTGGGGTTTCCATCATGATGATAAAACGCCACTGATAATAAAACATAATACCTAGATATATCAATCTTAAAGATAAAGGATTTAATGACAACTGCAACCGGTCGATCTCCCGTGAACACTTTGGTGTACACGTAAAAGACCCCTTGAAAGTTTAATTTCGATAAAGAGTAGGCAGGTAGGCCGCTGTTCGAGCAAAGTTTCCATCGGTGCAAAAAGGTAGGATGTTAAAGCCCACTGTATTGCGCCCGCTAGACCTCGTAAGGATGCATCTACTGATAGGTAGGGATAGAACAATTTTAACAGCACAGCGGGTTCAAAATCGCAGAAGAATTTAGGGGCTTACACCCAGCTCGTTTTTCGTGACTTTCCTACCTACGGTCCGATGGTTTGACGCTTCTTGCGGCAGCTACTATAAACCCAACTTATGCGTTGATACAAAATATGTTATAGCTGAACCGGTTACCCCTTCGTTTGAAATATAATTTTAACAGTATAATATATAGGAGCCTACTTACACACACGTTATACAGGTCAAATAAAATAATCACATGACATAACAGATACTCGCTTAGATTACCGACATACGATTATCTTGTCCGTTTATGGTTATGGTTACAGTCAATAAAGCAAACAATACAGTATGTCCTGTGATAATTCACCATCACCAACAAGCAGCAGAGTCATTTTGCTTTGGACCTCGAGTTTAACTTCCAGTACCAGTACATGTACCTTTTTTTGTCATAACTAGGTAAATACTGACTACTGTCAACATATAAACGTATAGCATGCTGGCGCAGAAGATTAGGACATTTCATTGGATGATATGACGGCGCTTAGCTTGTCCTTCTCTCTACACAATCATATGCCTTTAGCAGCACACACACGGCTCAAAATAAAGCAAGACAGGGAACAGACGAGTGTTATCGGGGTGCCATAGTTCACATGAGTCTCTCCTGATCAGGACAGAGAATTTCGCGCTCCCTTTTCCGCCCCTGTTATGATGGTCTTTCGGTTGGACTGACGTGATATAACCCTAGGTGGTAGCGGACGTAAATCCCTATTATATATGGGTGAAAATACTAATACCCCGTTGAAAATATTGTGTTTTTTTCTTTTTAGAACAATTGAACATGAAGCAAGTATTAAAACAACTTTAATACAATTCTTTAAATGATATCTAGAAGTACGGTTAAATGATTTTAAGGATAACTTAAATCTGTTATCAAAGTTTCAACTGTTAGAACGTTTACGGTAAAGTATATTCGAACTAAGTGGTTATAATGACGTCAGTCGTCTCCGTGTTCCACATTATGTTGACGTCGCCTAACGTGAGTATTAGCCTTGACAAATTGTGAAACAATTTAATAAACTTTGGAATTTATTTAATACCGTTCATCGATAGGCTATTACTTTTAACCTGGGACAGATCAATTCATAACATTTTAACCAATCCCAACCCTCCCACAGGTATCTCTATAGATGTGTTGTCTCTGCGTTTCATTTTATATTTTCAGGTTAATCCGATAATTGGTGTAAGATAATTCCATCGGCGTTCCAGTGCTTTACCAGGACAGTGGTTTTCAAGGCATACCCATGTCTATCAGTTACTAGTGCTACTCGTGGTTTCTGTATCCCAGATTCCAGCGGAATAAAAGATATCAATAAATGCATGGAATGGCATGCCATGGTAGACAATCTGTCAGTGGCCATTTTTAGTTGAATTAATATATTGTTTATTGTTTAATAAATGCCTGAAGAGCCGTTATCACGATGAAAAAGTTAGCATAAAAATGTAGTTTTATTTTGCCATCTTTAATTTCAATTATATATTACCAAAGAGCAGCTTTGTCTACAATCAGGCAATGTGTACAATGCCTGAAATAACCAGTCAATGCGTACATTGCCTAATGAGGCAAGTCATTGTGTAAATTGCCTAAAATTTCCAGGCATTGTGTACATTGCCTGATTAATTAGCCCAATTATTGTACACATTGACTGATTGTTGAAGAGCGATTATTGAGAAGACTAGATTACCACAGGTTTCGTTCTGTGATCACATAGGCTTCATTTCATATTATAAAAGATACTTTAATAAGTTCTTTGTCGGTTATCATTTGATTTAAAAAATGACTGATTTTAAAAATGACTTTGAAAATAAAATGACTTTGAAAGGAAAATGTACTTCATGATTAAATTGACTTTGATTAAAACATTAATATAACAGGATTGTCACTAGAGTTGTTGTTTTTAACTAAATAAATGACAAATATCATACACACTTTGAAGGATGAATTGACTTTATTTCACACAGTATGAAAATGCATGAATTTCTGATTTCCCGATAGAATACATGTGAAATACTGAAATACTCAGACAAATGGTAACATGTACATGTCAACTTGATTACAACCATGATATAAGTGGCCATGAAATATGTCAAAAAAAAATTCTTTTGACAATTGATGCCGTTGTGGCATCTGCTGTTACATAACAAACCCAACTTGTAACATTTACACTTATTTGTGGCACACTGTTTCCCACTTTTAGAACAGTAACACCTCGTATAACCTTGGTCTCCGCATTTTGATTCTGTTTGAACTGCTTGCCTAAGTCCAATTTCTTTCTCTGTGGATGTCTGGGTTTGCCATGCACCAAGACCAAGTCAGACCACATGAGCTTCAGTTCAGTGATCACGGAGGCAGTGAACTCAGATCCATTGTCACTTTGCAAAATCACAGGTGTACCAAGCAGCAGGAAGATATCTATGAGTTCATATGCAACTTCACATGCACGTTTAGAGGTGTGCGGACGAAAACACAGAATTTGGTAAAGTGGTCTTGGTATACCATGATCCACTTTTGTGATCCACTGGCCATTGACTGCATGTCCACAAGATCCACCTGTCCACGGGACAAGTAATCTTGTTACATTAGCATATTTCACTAATGCTTTCACCATTTTGTCTCTACCTCCATGACTAGTAGATATGTGGGCACGCTTAAGGATGTCAAACATCTCATCAATATGGGTGAAATAACCCACTGCAGATTCTGATTCTGGTTTTCTCTTTTTGATCAACTTCTCAATGTCTCCGCACTGCAAGATCTCATACCTCCCAAGAACGTAGTACTGCCGGAACGTCTTCTTCTCAGCTACTAGTGCAACCTTGACTTATTCTAACAAACTATAATACTCTTCTTTCGTCAACAATACTGACTTTGCATCCGACCGTCTTCTGTTCAGGAGATGCCTACGAAATGTGGACTCCATGGTGTGGACAATCAATTATTAGAGGAGTGGTGATTATAGTTAATCATATTAACCGACAAAGAACCTATTAAAGTATCTTTTATAATATGAAATGATGCCTATGTGATCACAGAACGAAACCTGTGGTAATCTAGTCTTCTCAATAATCGTTTTTCAACAATCAGTCAATGTGTACAATAATTGGGCTAATTAATCAGGCAATGTACACAATGCCTGGAAATTTTAGGCAATGTACACAATGACTGGCCTCATTAGGCAATGTACACATTGACTGGATATTTCAGGCATTCTACACATTGCCTGATTGTGGACATTGACTGTAAATGAGTTATTATCAGTAAATATTGAACTATCAGTAAAATTTCATGTTGATGGGTTATCAGTAAATATTAAACTATCAGTAAAGACTCAGATGTTAATCAGTTATTATCAGTAAATATCAAAGCTGCAATTTCATATTTTTAAGTTATATTTTTAAAATTTATTAAAATAAAGCCCTAAAATAGATGGTATCTATAAACAGTCCTACCTTGTTAAAGAATAATCCTATTAATCCTATAATTCACTATTGCCAGTTGAGAAATTGGCAAAAATATCATTTTCAACTTTAAATTCAAACGTTTGAAGATAGCTATTCCATGGGGGGAATAGAAAAACAAGGGAGGGAATTGTGTTATTATTTCCGGGGTCAAAGGATTTTTAAGAGGGAGAATAATACCTATAATCGTATAATAGTGAGTTGACAACCTATTGAGCAAAAGACATAGAAATAATTATATTTTGACTTTCTTAGAAAATATGAAATTATCGCTTTAAACTATCAGTAAATATTTAAGTAAAAAGAATGTATGTTAAACTATAGTGTATAGCTTATATATAGCTATTAGTAAAATATTGAATAGTAAGTAAAATTTGATCTATCAAGTTATAATTCACCAATTAAGCTGTGACCAATCATGCCAATAAACCTTTATTCCCCAATTTACTCGTTTGTCTTTGATAACTATTCATAACAAAATACAAAACAAGGTATATTTGGATATAGCTAATTCTCTATTAGTTAATAACGACGTTTCGTGACACATACAGGTCACGTTTTCAAGTTAATACACACTTTAATACACACATAATGATTGACTACAATATTTTATTCTTCTGCATTGTAGACTACTTATACCATTCCAGTTATTATGTCAAGAATGGAGTCGGGCAAAAATGGCTTCATTCTACAGATTATCTGAAAATAAAATCATATTATTTGTGTAGAATTGGTAAAATACCTGTAACACATAATTCTAATAATAACATTTAAACTATTTGTTGTAAACATCGAGGTTCCGGGTATGCGTCACTTAGGGGTTGGATAAAATTCCCCACCAATGCACTGCGTGGCGTATGTCTGTCTTAACTTATTTCGTGCAGAACAGTAGGGCGCTAAAACCCATTTCATTTCCCATCTGACTGACTATACACTTTCCTTGTCAGTCCAAAAGGCACCACCTCTGGCCGGACTTATAACAATAGTGATTTAGCTGATTATGATCGTTACAAATGCTGTAGCTAATTTGTGGACTTGGGGTGTCTAATGCCTTTACCTGCATAACTTAGCTTTATCAACTTACTGTTCTTGGATCATAGTAACCATTTGTACCAGCAACCAAATAGCGCTCTTCCGGATTTGGACCAATCAGTGAATTAGACATGACAGCTATTAAAGGTTGTACATGAGTTGAACTATTTGATACTGAGTCTACCATAGCATTTAATACAGAGTTAATATCATGTTGACAATATACTTCTTTTACACCTTTTAAACAGTTCGATGAGTTTTCATATTCGGTTTCCAATAGTTTTCTGTTCCTATCAATCTGTAAAAAGAGTGTAAAACGGTGTTGATTTTGGAAATAGGGCACAGGCGATTCTCAGGACGACAACTACTAAATTTTAATGAAAGCTATTTGTATTTGTCTAGCCAAAAATTATGAAGAGGCATTGACAATCTCATAAAGATATAATTGTAAATTATTTTGAATTATACCATAATTAAAATAACCTTCGACCCTCCAAATTACCCATAACGTACCCTAGACTCAACATGTTATCGACATGTCTGTCTCAAATTGAGCACACATCAGATTTGAACTTCAAATCAAGTCATGTAGAAAACTTTTTATCCAGCGAGGACGAAAAAGCGAGGTCCCGTGTACATATTGGCGTGCACGTAAAAGATCCCTTGGCAGTTGAAATTCGATATAAGAGTAGCGCACTGTATGGCGTATGCCCGTCTTCATTAGCTCAGTTTAGGAGTAGAACAGTAGGACGTTAAACCCCATTTCATTTCATTTCATTTTAACAAGTGGTGAATACTTACAACTGGCTTTTGAACTATAGAAGTAGCTATACCAAAATGTCCTGGTTCTATAATGCTAACCCTTACACCAAATCTAGACATTTCTAGACGAAGACTGTCAGAAAATGCTTCCACTCCTGTTTTAGACATACAGTAGACATATGATCCGTAAGGAAATCTTATACCCCGTTCACTGGATACGTTCATGATACGACCTGACAAAATCATAAAAAAAACGTAGAAAAGTTATCTACAAATAATATGCTATTCTAATAATATCCATGGCATTGAAAATGAATTTGCGTTTTTGACGGTACCTGAGACTATGCGGTATTAACTGGACGTGGGGTGAGCTTTCTGGAAATTGTGAGTGCATTTGCATCCAGGAAAAATACGCGGCTGAGTGTTATTTTCCCATTGTTTTACGTCCACTGGGGATTAGAATAATATAGACCGTTCTTGGTTCTGTGTTATTTGGACCACAAAATCCGACCCATCGGTAACTTTGCATTGTTTCCATGGATAAGCTTACCTTTTGATTGCCGAAGTAAGGGTAGGAAAGCTTTAGTAACACGAACTACACCATACAGGTTTATATCCCCGACTTGTTTATAAGCAGATATATTGAGTAATTCTATTAGACCATCAACTACTATGCCAGCATTGTTCACCAAACCCCATAATACCAGATCTACAGAAGTAAAATGGTAATCACTAATTTAAATAATCTTAAGAGATAAAGGAATAGTGTATCTGTTGAATATCAATTTAAAGAGTCCTCCTCTCCATATACACGTATGGTACAGAAATATAATTCACCCGTGAACAAATAATTTTGGTCCACATCATCGGAGTAACATGATTTACAGTAATAAAACGTGTTTTCTTTCAAACACGGTTGTGTCCTAGATAATGACCTCAATGGACGTAAAGGCGCCCAACACTTTCTATACAATACACATATCTATAAAGACATACCACTTTCTTTACATGTATTTTTCACATATTGCAGACTGTCTTCTACTTGTTCATCGTTAGTTACATCTAATTTAACTATATGAATTCTCTTAGACGACCTTGACCTTAGTATTTCAGCACCATTACCATCTGGATCCAAGCAACCAGCAAATACAACAAATCCTTGATCATTAGTTGTTAATGCCAGTTCATGTCCAATGCCTAGAAAAACAAAAACCTTGATCATTAGTTGTTAACTAATGAATACCTTGAAAAACGTATCCCTAATCATTTCGTTTTTGATGCTAGTCAATGTCCAATATCTGAAGAACAAAGCCTTGATCAATAGATGGTATGTTGGTTTGATTATCAAGTTTTAACTTCAGGTTGTTGGGGGTTTTTTTTACCAATATCTGAAATTTCAGGAATATGCCTCCTGTTTAATATACAGATTCCATGGGTCGTATGGAAAGTTCAACCCAAACAGTATCATCTGCATACTAAGCGAAATCATATAATTATCATTAAAAGATCATCCCACGGTTTTCAAATAAGCTGCATTAACTTAGGTATTTTCGTCCCGTTCTTAAAATGAAGCCAGGTGGAGTTGGGGCTAGAGGGGGAGGGGCTCCAATACTTTTGCCGCAAGTACTTCTTTCTCCAGGTTATATGCGGCTAGATACAACGACGCCTGATTTTAACATAGAAGTGAAACTTCAGAAGAAACTCCTGCTATGCCCTATACTGATCCCTTGGTTGAGAGACCCCAGTTGCGGGGTCACGTCAAGTTAACTGAACAGTCGATCTTTACTTCAACCCGATCTCACTTCCGTTGTATCTATGACAGATTAGGTAATTTTAAAAAAGATAGGTTGCCAGGCAACGAAACATACGCCCACAGCAGCTAAATCGTCCGGGCAGTCAACAAGAATTGTCGCATATTTTTACTTTTTTCGGTAATGAAACATGTATAATACACTAAAATCTGATTAAGAGCAAAAACTCATGAAGTAATTATCAGAAAACCATTATAATTTGTTTGTTTTTATAAAGTTCTGCCCCATGCTAACGTTTTGTATACAAAACTTTTAATATCATGGATTTAGCTGTTCAAGACATAAAAATTCATTGAAAATCAATACTTGTTCGTCTCAAGATCTTAAACTCTGTGTATCAATCTGAAGTCAATCGGATGATAACTTTAGCCTTTAGAGCGTCACAAAGTGATCAAGGGCCATAACTTTGGCAGTAATTATCGGAAATCGTTGAAAATCAATAGGTTTCTTCGTCTCATGACCTTAAACACTGTGTATAAATTTAAAGTCAATCGAATATTCACTTTGGCCTCTAGAGCGTCCACAAGATTTTTTGAAGTGATCAAGGGCCACAACTCTGGCAGTAATTATCGGAAATCGCTGATAATCAATAGGATTCTTCGTCTCATGACCGTAAACACTGTGCATAAATTAAAAGTCAATCGGATATTAACTTTGGCCTTTAGAGCGTCCACAAGATTTTTTGAAGTGATCAAGGGTCATAACTCTGGCAGTAATTATCGGAAATCGCTGAAAATCAATAGACTTCTTCGTCTCATGACCTTAAACACTGTGTATAAATTTTAGGTCAATCGGATAATCGGATATTAACTTTGGCCTCTAGAGCGTCCACAAGATTTTTCAAAGTGAGTAAGGGCCATAACTCTGGCAATAATTATCGGAAATCGCTGAAAATCAATAGGCTTCTTTGTCTCAAGACCTTAAACACTGTGTATAAATTTAAAGTCAATCAGATATTAACTTTGGCCTCTAGAGAGCCCACAAGCAATTGTGGACGCCGGACCGACGGGCGGACGGGGGCGACGACAATATACGACCACATTTCAATGGGGGCGTATAAAAACGACGGGATAGAGTCTTTCTCACACTCATTCCTTATGTCCCTTATCCATCAAATAATTCACTGCTATCACTTAAGATCAGTTGAAACAAGCGGTTGTCATGCAAGATACGCCCATATTTTGCAGGAAATGTATGGGGAAAAGGTAAACTCAATAGGGCTCATCTTCTCATTCAAGATCTTTTGATCCTTAACATATTTGTTGAGTTTCTCCAGAATTGGACAATATTGTAGCTCCGCTGGAGGGCCTACAAAATTCATAAATATTTCACATTTTGCATAAAGAGCAGGGGCCATAGCTTTAGAATGTAAGAGAGGGGGAGAAATGGGGTTTAACGTCCACTCGACACAAACTAGGTCATTTCGGGACTAACATATGGTTTTTAAATTTTATTTCAATAATTCGCTTGCGCGTAGGGGTCTTTAGCAGTGGGAGGAACCGGAGGACCCGGAGAAAACCCACGAGGCTGGACAGGCGACCCTACTCCTTGTCACGTACAACCGGGGATTCGAAACCACGCCAGTTGACTCAATGACAGGCTTTATGATACAGCGCGCACGTGCTAACCATTCGGCCACACACCCCCCCCCCCCCTTCAGAATGTAAGGTATGATGCTAACCAAAGTCGAACTCATCCAAGATTGATCCTTAACACATCACATCACATGAATTAGACAAAAATTGTCGCCTTGGGAAGGTCCACATTTTTCATTTATATTTCACATTTTGCGTAAAAGGCAGTGGGCCAATGCGCTCCAAACCTCAACTCGTCCAAAAACTAGTGATACTCGTTTTAATTTTCATCTAAATCGGAAAAAAATTGTGACCTCTAGATGGTCCACAATATGAGCATTACGCGCTTTTATTCTAATTGTGTAAAGGGGAGCGGTCATTTTTGGCCGACATTTTCGGTCGGATTTTCACGAAATTCGGACTCAACCATAATTATTATTTAACGGTGATATATTTAAACGGTTTTGAAAATAATATATTGGTGAACCCTACAGGGTCCACAAGCTGAAAACGTGATACATGTATTTCGTACAATCGGGTGTCATAATCCAGAAAGTTACGGTCCAATACGCGCCAATATCGAAATTTGCACGCAGCCGTAATTATGGTGTAACGGGGATATATATATTTGAATTTTTTTTACAAGGGTCCACAAGCTAAAACTGTATATACAGGAAGTGATGGTCCTATACGCGCCAATATCAAAAGAAACCAAAATCTTTCGGTTAATATAAACATACATTGTCAGTTTGATCAGGCTGACCCCCCCACCACCACCACCACCACTACCACCAACACCAAAAAAACCCACAACCCATTAAAATTTTATTAAATTCTACAAAGGTCCAGGACATAAACTTCAGTCCGTGTATGTACGATCATACCCCAAACTTTCATTTATCTTGGTCGCTTTGCATAAAAGTCATGTTCCTTCCAAAATATGCTCTAAATGGCCTCCGCGGCGTTGGGGGAAAACTTACATACTTCGCGCAAAATTGTCAATTACTCGAACACATTTTAAGAAATTTGTTGGACATTTGTAGGATTTAATAACATTTTCATGGGTCACCCTGTATAAAGATTGTGACCTCTAGAGTGTCCACAACTTTGGTATTATTATGCATATATTTGTCAAGCTCAGTATCGCATAAAACCACATTGACTGTGTTTGCATGGTAAGGGATTTAGAAAAGAAATAAAATCTCACTTAATTTGCTGAAGTATTTTATTAGCCGTAAAATGCTCAGAAAGCCTTTCTAGTGATCTAAACCCCAGGGAGCATCTGGAGCCGAAGGCGGTACCTGGACCCTCGCCTAATGTCCTATGATGGTAGCCCCCCCCCCCACCCCCCACCCTCCTATCAAGAATTTCTTCCGCCGGCCCTGAAAATGCTCTGTATAAAGATTTGAAAGGCTTTGAGTTGGCAACTAATACGTTTATTTTACTATTGACTTTACCCTTACTTACCAGTATCACATCCAGTTATAAATATAGCTTTTCCTGTCACATCTATTTTAACTTCTTTATTTCTTTTGTATATTGTATAATGATAAACACCATATAACACCATAGATAGCATAACCATACAAATCAGTTCATATATAAACATCCATACCATTAAAATACCAGCAGATGTGGCGACGCCTTTATAATAAAATGTGGGTATAACTGGCGGTCTCTCCATTCTTCGAAGCCGCCCTGCCTAATTCTGGTAATAGAAATAGTATGTTATTCGAATATATATTCCAGCTAAAACTTTGGATATTTTTCAGCTAAAACTATTAAATGAAGTTGGTCGGTGTTTGTTGTTTTTTGGGGTTGTTTTTTTTGTATTTTATCTTTTAATTTATTTTGTGTGTGGGGGGGGGGGGGGTATTTCTATATAAATTCTTTGATGGAAATGTAATTAGTCTAATGATCGAATAGCTTAAGTTCCGACAGCGTCCATCGCAATAATATCACAGAGTATTTTTACTCTGTGATAATATGAGTACCACCCCCTTCTACTGACCTTGACCTTGTAGATTGATCGCGTAAATTATTAATTCCCGTCCAAGTCCGGACTGTTTTATAAGCTTCGTCTTAGATCCCATATAAGGTATATTATGATAATTATGTTCTAATATGCTAAGTTCTTTTATGCATTTGTCTATTATGCAAAATGCAGAATGGAGAAGTGTAATGTGCAAAATAACTATTATACTGTATTTAGTATTATTAAAAAGTGTATTCTGTATTTTAACACTGTGACATTGGTATCGTGAAGCAATGTAAAACTAAAATACGTATTTTGAACTGCTGACATGCAGTTTGTACAGTGAACATTGAAATAATATTGGCAACGTTATCCTTCCATACCCTAATAATAATATTATTAAAATAATACATCCATGTTATAAAACATAGTCTATAAAGATACCCTTGAGAGATGAATATGGCTATGGCCCAGCTCTGAACGCCCTAGATGGGTTGTTCTTATCGCTCATTGTTTGTGTTGGTTATTTGTTTCATTTCAATCACAATTTAATAGTTGTATTTAACACGAGTACCCTGTATCGAAAGGGAGTGCACCATGTGCCATTATTCCATGTTTATTCATGGAATAATATTGTACCGACAATAATCTTCATATTGTAGGTAAACAATATTATTTCTATGAATCACTGTGAATACTTACATTCCATCTGGGTCATTAAAACATAATCACATGACTTACGACCCGGGGTTAACAATAGGTCAGACTGCAACAGCCGAGTGCAGATACGGAGGCGGGTGCAGGGGTGTGCCTCCTCCCCCCACACACCTCACCCCACCACCTTTTTGTTTTGGAATTTATTTTATTGAATATATACGAGCTCTAGGCCGGGCAATACAGCTGTAGTATCAAATTTCAAGTGAACTATGGGTATTCTATTATTCTATCCATAGAATTACAGTATAGGCTGCACAATAGGCACCTATTATGTTAGACGCCTTATGTTAGATGTTTGAACCGGCGCCTAGGCTTGTAGGCGAACAAATAAACCAGGCCTCTTTCAATCCGTTACCCGGGTATAAAAGGGTAGGTCCCAGGAAAATGGCGATATATAATGCAGCCTCTCGTACCATCAAGAGCTCGAGCTAATTTTGAACTAGTTCTTATTCCTATAGCGTAATGAGGTGGACAACCCCTTGCTTTGTGCTGATCCTGGTGCCGCGGTGTGGTAGACGATGTAGTCACGTCATCAGAAGACGATGGTCTCTTTCTAATCACAAATGCATCCATCGTCTTGTCTTCGTCGCTGTCGAATTCCCAATCTCAAAACGTTCAGAAATGTTCTGCCAGTTCTGCCAGTGCAAATGGCAACACTGGACACGAGTCGGATTATGCTAGGCCGGTACGACTACGCGAGACGAGAGGAGCCGCGAGTATGTGAGTGTGTAGACCAACACGCCTCACACACAGTAGTTATCGCACGTATGGTATCAAGGATTCAAGACAAGAGGATCAGGAGGTGATGATGACAGGCAGGCCTCGGTGGGCCATGCAACGAGCCTACGGCTCGCCTACCAATTTGAACACTCCTAAAAAATCATTATTGTCGGCGACATATTGGGGGGTGGGGGGCTAATTCGATTTGGGGGGGGGGGGGTAGCCACCCCATAGAAACCCCTTACGGGCCAACCCAGGACAATCTGATTAAAACACAGATCCTTTTTCGTTTCGTTTTTATAGTTCAAAATTTTGTTTTACTTGTCTTTACTTAGTGTAGGCCTGTAGGCCATCGAAAGTATAAAAAACGAAACGAAATATAGATCTGTATTTTAATCAGAAAGCTGCAAAGGATGACAGGTGTTTACACATCGATGATAAAAAAAAAACCAGAAAAAAAACAGACACACACACAACAACAAAAAAAATATACGCTACGGACAATTATATTGCAAATAGTGTTCAACGTACATACTTTTCACCAACGTTGGGTTAATACAGTATATATATATATATATATATATATATATATTGTACGAACGTTGGGAAATAAATCCACTTTGTCATGAGGTATTTCTCGGAAACGTTCGGCTGGGCGTTTATATATTATTTATATACCGAACTTACTAAGCTTCAAGGAAGTTTAAATGTACTTTTATATACTATACAATGTACCCTGAACGAAGCCTCATAGTCATTACCTATAATTACAGAAATCAAACGTGCTAATTGGTGCCGTGTCGCTGTCCGTGAAAACTATTGGTTTCTTTTATTTTATAAGAATCTGAATGTTTGTATTATGCCCATAATAATATTATACTGTAGATAAATCGTGGTGTAAATGCTTCGGTGGTGTATTAAAGGAGCTAAATCGCTATTATTTGGAACCTAAAAATTAACACAAAAGGATCGCAACGCATATATATATGTAATAATCATGAATGTATATGAACTGATTTATATAAGAGATTCCGCTCGGTCGTCGTGGGGATTCGATATAGGCCCTATATAGTGCTGCTATCCTGGCAAAATTTCCCCCATGCACACTGTATGACGTAGCCATGCCCGTCTTCATAAGCCCAGTCGGAGCAGAACAGTAGGACGTTAAACCCCATTTCATTTCATTTCGATACAGAAGACAGCCATCATCGATTTATTATATTTATACCCATTCGTCATACTTGTGTTGAATGAACATATGTACGTCACAGTATCAGACCAGTTTGAGGTAAATGTGTATTCTGAGATGATTATATCATACTGTTTGTCCTGTTCATGAATGGTAACCTAGATTAAAATTATCATTTGTCTTGTTTGTAAATATATATATTATTTGTCATATTGTTATAAATGTATGTACATGTTTATATTGTAATATTATGCTGTCCGCAATGGATGTTTCGATACAATAAAATCTTATCTTATCTTGTGGTAGTCTGGGGACTGGTTGTACGAGGCTACCATTCAGAGGCCTGATTGACCGAGATTTGCATTGACGTCAATGGAGATTAGAAACTAGAATGGTCTCCCTTACCACAATGGCTGCGGTTGTAAATAAAAATATTTGATTTTGTTTTGTAATTTTTATATTTATAGCTTGTTGGTGCAAAATATACCAATTATCAATGATATATAATTGCTGGTATTTTAAGAATGGATACAGCGTCCATTGTAGTTGGTACTTGTCTGATGAAATGTCCACAACCAGAAATAGAAATGTTAGTTCTCTGAATTTCCTTTAGATCTATTATTTATTATTAATATGTAACACTGTTAGTAACAGGCATTGCGGGAGTAGAGCGAAGCTGATGTTTTCAAATATAAAACCTTTATAATTAAGGTTCTCAAATGATACAAATAATGTTAAATAAATTTGTTTTTCCAAATTGATTTTAATTTAGATCCAAATTGTATGATTAATTTTGTTTAAAAAAAAAAAGTGTGAGAATTATTTTCTTTGACGTCAAAAATATGTGACGTCATTGATTAAACACGTCATAGAAATAGTTCTATGAGACCCGTAATCTCGCCAAGTAAGTTGCCATGCGCATTGCCAGTTTTGCCCAGTGTATCCAGTTCCAGTCTGAATATTTTTTTAATCAACAGTCTGTGGCTGACAGTTTTTAGTTACGCTCCTGTGTTACCAGAAAAGAGCTTTGCTAAGCACCGCGCTTCGCGCGATGCTTTTTAGAGCTTCACTCTATTATTAAATGTACTTTTGGGGTTTTTTTTGTAGATACTTTTCCACAAAAGTATTTATTGGGTGGTCATTTCCAATAAAAGTATGACAATTTAGGCATATATGGAAAGTGGAGAGACCCAATCTTACTAGGAAAATACTGGATTCCTTGAAAAACACCCATGCCATGGACTCATGAGATGAGTCATGGAGCACGCACAGGACAAAAATGAGAGGGTGTCACTAATTAGAAGTTTGACAATTAAGGGCTGTTTGCTCAAGTGATGTCAAAGGTTGCACGTGAAGATTATCTGATCTCTCAGCGATAGGGAGCGCTTGATGTGTATATGTATATTGTATGGGCTCTTCTCTCTACTATGTTACTGGTGAATGCTCTATACAACTAATATGAAAATAAGGCTTTGCCCCCATCTCGGTTCAAAGGCTACTTAGAAATCCTTACTGTTTAGTTTTCACCGTGATTCTTCTTTGATCGCCAAAAGGAATCATTTCTTGCCACGTCCGACACAAATTTATAAAAATCCAACACTATTTTCATGTAGAATTGTGCAATACAAAAACACAAACAACTTTCATTTAAATTGGCCCGCCCTTATCAAACTCACGCTCAGCCAATATACCAAATTTAGGAATGGAATTTTACCGTAAACGAAAAGCCTTATTTTCATATGACGTCATGTAATTGTATACTATCTCATTACCGGTATTAAATGCCTGATGATCCCCTTAGTGGGTGAAAGCACTAGCTAAGATGAAATTAGTTATTTTCTTTCTAAAAACCTCACTTTTCTATATATATATTAATCTTTTATGTCTATAATATAAGCTAGTCTTCAGTTGTATTTTTTCGTTGCCCATTGTAATTTGTTATTGCAAAACGTTGTCAAAATAGCTAAGAAAAATTCTGACACAATAGATCTTGACCCAATTTTCTCTTATTTGTTTAGGAGGGAGAGAGAAGGATTACTGCACCATTTCGAAATTGTTGAAGGCCAGGAACGTTTGAAAAGGTAAAACATATAACTGAACATGAAATCTAATGCCAAAAGAGAAATAATAACTGCAGTAAAACCAGGATTCACATGTTGATACAGGCTTTATGCCTTAACAGGAAACTCAAACTGCATGCACGCTTTCCCAGATTTTTTGATGCAAGAAATACTACTATCAAATGAAAAGTGTTTCTTAAGTGGCATTTTTTTAGTAATTTCCATCTCCAGGACCCAGCTTATTTAATTACTGTTGTACAACACTGAACAACAATAAAACTCACTGACAAGATCAAACAGTCCAATAAAACATGTTTATTCAGTATCATATTTGTACAAAACTTTTCTCGACAGTCATGTTGGGATAGTTTGACCTATTTATTTACATCCTACCCTCTCATTAAAATTTAGGAACCTGATTTAAACCAAAACGAAATGTATTTTTGTTACTTGTTGAATTATGTTAGGAGGTTCATATATCGGTAGCTTCAGTTACAATATTTCCATGTATTTATTATAATTTTGGAAGTGAAAATCAAACCTAAAAATGAGTTTTTGATTTGAAGGCCAAAATGTGTAATAGACAGAATGGTGAAGGAATACAAGAGGCCTGCAGCTGGTCAAGATGTGGCAGATCCAGAAACACTGAGACCAGTACCTGTTTTGCATCAAACAATAGACTATCTTTATAGGTAAATACATACACAGACATTACAATATGTACCTGTTTAACATCAAACAATCAAAACGATTGTACTATATATTGTATCAATGATGTATCCGAGATAACATAATGGTATAATGAATATATTAACAGAAATTTTGATACAAATGTGCTTTGTATTTTGTATTTATATAAACTGCCAACTATAGTTGAATTAATTAATAAATGATTCATCAAAACCATATTTGATATCAATTTTTTGTCCTCCACCTTTCGAAGAAAGCAGGGGACTATTAAAATGGGTTCGTCCGTCTGTCTGTCTGTCCGTCACACTTTTTGGGACACAATAAGTTTTCTTCTAATTGAGCTAGAATGTTCAAACTTGGTGTAGGTGTTTATTAGGTCAATACCTTGATGAGCATTTTCTGCATAGGGTAAGCAGAGATAAGCAATTTGATTGGTTGATGCTTTGGGACAGAAAACTTTAGTTCTTATTAAGTGAGAGTGAGGACTCTTGGCGTATAGCTTTATTACATCAATACCTTGACTAAGTGCGATAATGAACATTTTCTGCTGAGGGTAAGCAGAGCGATAAGCAATTTGATTGGGCGAGACTTTGGAACACAATAACTCTCCTTCTAATTGAGGTAGAATGTTCAAACTTGGTGTAGTTGTTCATTAGGTGAATGCCTTGATGATGATGCACATTGTCTGCTTAAGCGGAGATAAGCAGTCTGATTGGTTGATGCTTTGGGTCACGATAACTTTGGTTATATTAAAGTAAGAGCGATGAAACTCTGATTATAGATTCATTATATCATTACCTTGACTAAGTTCTATGGTGAGGATTTTCTGCTTAGGCTAAGGAGCTATAAGCAATTTGATTGGTCAAGACTTTGGAACATAACAACTCTGCTTTTAATTGAGGTAGAATGTTTAAACTTATGTAGATGTTCATCATTAGGTGAATGTCTTGACTGAGTTCAATGATTAACATTTCGAGCTGAAGCTAAGCAGAGCTAATCAATTTCATTGGTCGATGCTTTGGGACAAGATAATCTTGATTCTATCTGATAGAGAGTGATGAAACTTGGTGTATAGTTTGATTGCGTGATACTTTTGAAAAAAATAAATGTGCAATTAATTAATGTGTCATCTATTGATTTTGAGATTTCGGCAGGGGATGTCAGCCTCACTGTTGGCTTGTTATTTCAGCATTGTGACTAGACCTAATTCAGAATGGTATCATATTTATGACTATGTATTTGATAGATTACGGGCTGTAAGACAAGATATAGTTATACAAGATATACAAGGTTTAGATGCTATATCGTTACTAGAAAAAATCGTACGATTCTATGTTTTAGCTGTTTACAGGTAAGTGCAGGTATTACTGAAATGAAAATAGGTTGCCAGGAAACTAAACGTCACAGTTTAATCAGTTGCTCACTTTATTAACATCTAATGTTTTAAGAAAAAGCATGTACTGGGCCTGTGACAACTAATACCTTTGACCTAGCCAGTCAAATGTGTACATAATGAAAGAGTTTCAAAACGTTTTGTGAAATTTTTGATATCACAGGCTTTAATTGGTAAGTTTTGGACTTGACCAATCGAATCAGTATGTTATTCAACTTGGCCTTTAAAGAAATGTCTTACGTACAGAATGAGGTGGTGTAATCCACCATAAAATAAAATGTTGGTAGAATTAGAATGCTACTGTGCTACATGAACTTACCAGGATTCCTTCAGATGAGTTAGTAACAAATAGTATCAGGTGTTCCATACAACAGAAACATACCCTGCCTCACCCCTTGTGCATGATACTACTTGTTATAAGGCCAGATCTAGCCAGAGTTATGGATGCAACAATGCCCCAATGACTAGAAATAATTTGTTCTGCAATCTGTATTCATGTTTTATATATATTCCAGAATGGGAAATAAGATAACTCCATCGTTCGACCCAACAATAAATAACCAACATACACAGGAATGTTTAAAACGACTTTTATCATTATATACTGAAGTTGATGGTCCACATAGTAATCAGATAGAGTTTGAAAGTATTTATTTAATGTTTAATTTAGGAGATACATCAGCTCTTCTTCATTACTTGGATTTACCAACGTTGATAAGGTTAGTAAACTGTGTTATTTTATTTTCAAGAAGTATTTTGAAATATATTAGGTAACACAAATAAAATAAGTTGTTTCTCGGTTACCGCCCGCATGCAAAAATGGTTGTACAGGCAATTTTTTTTATTGGTCTTGATGAAAATAATAAAAAAAAATCGTAACTTTTGCCCGAACATCAATACGCAGGTCATAAAAAAATATGTATTAAACTGATTCAGATGGATCTAGATTATGGATATTAAAAGAATCTCCATTTTTATACGCCCACATTTTCATGTGGTTAAAAACAAAGTCTTGGGTATCACAAAACCATCTTTATAGAATCTAACGTTTCGTAAGTGTAAAAACTTACTTCTTCAGAGAGTACAAGCTACACAAATGATACAGTTGCAGTACAAGGTTAGTCATGGTAACTAGTGATGTCATAATGTTAATAGGCTAAATATAGATAAATGATGTATGGTTAAAAAAAAAGGGGTGTAGAATTAATTTGCAGGCATTTCATTTAAACCACTAGGCCATACAGTGTTTAATCTGTGGATGTGACTGGTGGTTTCAACAGTAGCACACGCTTTACATTTAGGTCTGTTACATGGTTTACATCCTCTATAAAAATCACTGTCAACTACAGGCATTTCAGGTGTTTTCAGTCTATTCACTTGTATCAATTGACCAATAGTCTTACATTTCTTCTGGTCATGAATCTTATGTCTGCACTGTGCTCGATAAAATCCCTCAGAACGACCAATTGACCAATAGTCTTACATTTCTTCTGGTCATGAATCTTATGTCTGCACTCATAGGCGTACGGGGAATTTTTTTACTGGGGGGGCGGTGGTGGTTGGTGCCCCAAAAATGTAGTTAGGTTCTTAGTATGTTACATAATAATCATAATATCTTTTTTGCGATGAATAAGTTCTTAATTTCTAAATCATCAATAAAAGAGAACTAAATTTTATTTACTTGTAATATATACAACTAAAAACAGTTGTTTATGTAACTGTAATTTGTGGCTAACTGTACTCCAAACAATAGAGGGTTCGAGTCTTAAGATTTCTATTTAATTGCCTAACTATAGACACTCTGAATTTAAATTCGCTGTTAAATTGGATGCATTCAAGAACACAATATTTTTCTATACAACTTTTACAAAGTACAATTGTGTGCCCAAATTTTCCCAGCCTATGTCTGCACTGTGCTGGATAAAATCCCTCAGAACGACAGAGCCAAACTCAATATTGCTGAATCACTTTGGATCCACAGATTAAACACTGCACCCCTTTTTTTAACCATACATCATTGATCTATATTTAGCCTATTAACATTATGACATCACTAGTTACCATGACTACCCTTGTAGTTGTACTGTGTAGTTGTACTCCCTGAAGTAATAAGTTTTTACACTTACAGATTCTATAAAGATGGGTTTGTGATACCCAAGACTTTGTTTTAACCACACCTACTACTGGTGTCACCGTATCAAGGTTATTTTGACTTGGATCCCATCTAAGTTTATGTTATTCAAATGGTTTTGGATTCTTCTCTCTTTATATTTATTTGGATTCACATTTTCATGTGCACGTATATTGACATCGCCCCTGTCCGTCCACAATTGTTTGTGGACAATCTACAGGTCTCAATTCTTATCCGATTTTTACGAAACTTGAAATATAGGTTTATCTCCAAAAGATCTTGGTTGCTTTCGATATTGGCATGTATCGGAATCGTAACTTCCTGAATTATTTATGGCCCATGATTGTACGAAAAATCGCGTTTTTAGCTTGTAGACCCTATAGAGGTAGGTATAGGCAACGGCTAAGACAAAGCGGTGGAATGTGTGACATTGTCGCTAATTAGTAGAAAACATGGTCATATTTCCATGATCGTCACTAAATAACTATCGTATCAATTTTGAAATAAATTACACCATTGCAATCGTCTTTTCTTTCTCTTTATCACTGATACACTATTTATATATTTATTGCAAGAGAAACAGTAAAAAGGGAATTTTAAATGACTCGTTTCAGCCGCAAAGGCCGTAATCCATGTCAACTTTGTTTTTTTGCAAAGCATGGGTTCTAGAGTTTCGTAAAGCGCTCGCTTGCAAATTCTCAATGAAAAATGTATTGGCTACCATATTCTAGCATGTCCGTAGAGCTTTTACCACATACCACATTGTCCGGCCGTTGGATGCCAAAAAAATCGAAAATTTTAAGTAGTTTATAAAACCTCAAATTTAGCAGCAAAATAAGCATAGAACCCATCAAAATAATACAGCAAAACTAGGTACAAAAATGTTCGTTATGATCTTTAGATTTTATATTTTTTCCGGTTTCTCCGGCACCTGTTGTTCCAAGGTAGCGCAAGCCAAGAGCATGCAAACTGCCGTACGCTAGTGACGTCATTGGTCAAATAGCTGTCGGTTTTTAACATTCCGGCCCCTCTAATTGCAGAAATATGTAAGTAAAATCATGATTTTATTGATAAACGTATTAAGAATAAGACTATATGTAAAGCATATCCGTAAACTATTCCCCATATATTTATATTTGGCGTGTTCTGACGATGTGTAATTTGAAAATATATCAAACGAACAAAGCACTTGGTAATAAAACACTGGTTTTAATTTTTTTTCACGGCTGAATTCAAGCATTCTGGCAACATAGTCAGCTAGATATATGAATACATATTCAGCGAAGCTAGGATTCTGAATTATCTATCGTCTTCATGAATTTAGAAAACGTCTTTTAACAGTAACGGGTAGTTTTCATTTTCGACCTGTGACTTCAGTTACTTTCTGTTTACTTTTCCACCAATCAGGTATGTATATTTTGTCACGTGACTAAGTCGACGAAATACCTGATTGGTGGAAAGGCTCATAAATATGTAAATTTTACAACAATATTTCTTTTCACACTTTGAATTGAATTTATAAATGTTTCTGTGATAAATTTAGTATGAATACAATAAAGACAGCATGGATTTTGAAATTATTTATTTTAGTTCTCAAATACACAAAAATATATTATCCATTTCTGTAAAGGTGATGTGATACGAGACGGGGCTAATGAAAACGGGCATTTTTCGGCTTTTTTGCTCCCGCGGAGCAAAACAGTGGCTGGGACCATTTTCTGTGTCTGATATCTTTCTTTAGGGCCTTTTCAAGGCTGTCAAAAGAATTAGAGTTACTATGGGGGCCATTGTCAGCTGATATGTGGAAGGAAAAACCTGCGGTACACTTAGAATTAATTTTATGGAGGGGTCAAATGGCTCCAGAAGCAGATTTTGTCATGGGCAGTGGCTAAAAAATGTCATTTTAAAGGGTCAACAGTTTCAACAGGAGTGAAGACACAGGCATTTCCTTGCATTTATTCCAACTAGGCAGTAGGTACTCTATGTTAAAGAAGTTACAGTTGTGTAAAAAGCTCACTTTTTGATATATGGGGGGTCAAAACCACTTATTTTTGCTATGTCCGAAGTTGGTGGGTACCCCAAATCCTGTAACTGGCCATATTTCACAAACTACTAGAGATAATCAGTTGAAATTTTCAGGATGTTTTTATCTTAGCAAAATGAAACTATTGATACCGCAATTATGTGTTTTTATTCACTTTATTGCTTGCTTGCCTATACCTAATAGAGGTCATAATTTTTATCCGATTTAAAAAAAACATTTTAGTATATACCGTTACACTCTAAGGATGGTTGAGTTTGAATTTCGTGAAAATCGGCCCAAAACTGACAGACAAAATGGCCGTCCCTCGTTCTCAAATAGAGTAAAAATATGGTATATCAAGGTATATCAAATTTTCTTCTGATTTTGATGGAACTTGAAATGTAAGTTTATAACCCAAAGATCTCGGTTCCTTTCAATATTCGTGCATATCGGACCGTAACTTCCTGAATTATGGCCCCCTCATTGTACGAAAAATCACGTTTTTAGCTTGTGGACCTTATAGCAGTCATAATTTTTATGCGATTTAAAAAAACGTATGAATATATTACCGTTACACCCTAAGGATGGTTAAGTTCAAATTTCGTAAAATCGGACCAAAACTGACAGACAAAATGGCCGCCCCTCGTAATCAGATAGCGTAAAAATATGGTATATCAATGTTGTGGACTCCCTAGAGGTTACAAGTTTCTTCTGATTTTGATGAAACTTGAAATGTAACTTTATAACCCAAAGATCTTGGTTCCTTTCGATATTCGCGCATATCAGATAGTAACTTCCTGAATTATGGCCCCTGATTGTACGAAAAATCGTGTTTCTAGCTTTTGTTCCCTCTAGATGTCACAATTGTTATCTGATTTAAAAAATGTTCAAATATATCTGATTCACCGTAATTTTGGTTGAGATTGAATTTCGTGAAAATCGGACCAAAACTGCTGGATGAAATGGCCGCCCCTCGTACACAATTAGTGTAAACATCTGGTATATCAAAGTTGTGGAGCCTCTAGAGGTCATAATTTTAATCTGATTTTGATGAAACTTGAAATACATGTTTATAACCCAAAGATCTTGGTTCCTTTCGATAATCGCGCATAACGGATCGTAACGTCCTGAATTATGACCCTTGAATATACAGAAAATCACGTTTTTAGCTTGCCGTCCATGTAGAGGTCCTCGGCAGGGATTGTGAATCGCTACGTCAAGGACGCTCCGTACGAATTCCAGGTAGATATTAAAATAAGAATTGGATCATACATTTTAGGGTTTTGCTGACCAGTTGTTAGTTAAATTTAAATAGTCATTCAATAATCCCCGGATAGAACACCGAATATCCCGAGAAACAGTCATAATAATATATTTCAGACAATCTCCAATACAGAATCCTGATGACACGTGACATGCATTGGTTGGAATTAGGTCAATATAAACCGGTGACGCTAGGTTTAGTTTTTTATAGCATTTACCGTTATGTTTTTTTTTATACACACCCACCCCTCGGTATAATTTTATGCAATAGCTTAATTTTATTTTGCACCAGCCCTCTGCTCCTACATTTTCAGCTGTCAGTTGCCTAAGAAACAAGACAATTATTTGGTTAGCCTTATGCAAAAAAAAGTGTTTGTGGTAAATATATTGCATTAAACATACATTATGCAAGAGCAAAATCGGCCTATTGTAGGTCTTTCTTTAGGCCTGAAATGTTATAAAAACTATTAATTAGACATTAATTAACTTATCCAGACCATAATCAGCTCTCGATGTCAAGGCTTGCCTGCGATATTTGTTGGATTACAGTCCGATTTGCTGCAAAACTTTCCTTCGTGATTAACGATTAAATGGATAATCAAGACTATTAGTTTTGTCTTATCGACTTCAGTAATGATGATCGAGGCTAAGCGGAACTTTCATCCACTTGGTTCTCGGTTCATAGTGGATCAATTTGACTGAAATTTTCAGCAAGTTGCCTTTACATTATGTAGTTTTTAACTATTATAGTGAGAACTGCCAACTCGTTATCTAATCTCCCATAATGTATCTTTAATAAAACAATGCTTGTATTAAAGGAGCTTAACCATGTTAATTTGGGTTAAAATAAAGTGCTGAATTGGGTTGATCTCATACATAAAATGTCCTTAATTTGATCATTTATTTTTGATCCAAATCAAAGTGATCATGGGTTTTAAAATAGTAATGGTGTCATTATTTATAACAATACAATGCTGTAAATAATATCATAAGAATTTATGTTTATAATAATATTTTCAACTTTAGGAATTATCACCATTTAAAGTTAGTATATTGTGCTAGTATCAACTATTTACTACAGAATTATGTGAAATGTTTACGACAAATAAAAAAACTAACCAATGTTTTATGTCTGTGTGCCGCACATCGACACCTGTGTAAAATCCAACAGTAAGTAGAACAATTTGATTTAGTTTTAGCTGTATTATTGTATGGTTAATCTGTCCCTTCAGCTAGTAATGTTTAAGGTTTGGGACATTGTGAAATCTAGAAAGTCTTGCATTATTGTTATCAATTTATTAAAGATGTACACCTCATATTTTATGTAATTTATGAATTTTTTAATTTCAGCTGTTTATAAACTGTTGCTAAACTTTATGCGTAAATAATTTGTGAAATAATAAGTCTTACAGTTTTTCATGAAATTGAAGAATCTTTATGAACTTAGTGAAAATTTCAGCTGTTTGAAAAGTTGAGAGTAAAGAACTTGTGAAATCAATAAATCTCATAGTTTTCTTATTTTGAAAACCTGCCACTCTAATTTTGAGACTGTATCATTAATTTATTTCAATTCTTTAGTTTTAATCTTGAGATTAATGATTCATAGTTTTATCATGGCTGTTTCATTTCTCTAGGCTACTAAATTGTCTCCTTTTTTGAGAATATTTCATAAACTTGATTTGAAGAACTAAATGATACACTTTGACGTAGATTTTTAGTAGATTTTTCCATGGACATTAAAAGAGCTAAACCTCTAGTTCAATATTATCCATAATATCCGAAATTAAAAACAGAAATGGGTCATTTCATGTCAAGTGGACCAAATTTCGGAAAGTTGGCAACATGACCCCCTCCCAAAACATTATAACCAGCGGCTGCCAGGCAGGATGCGCCCACCTTTTGCAAGAGATGGATAGAGAACAAGCTATACAAAAAGCGATTTTTCGTACAATCAGGGGCCATAATTACTGTGTGAACCTTGCTATTTTATAAACGGATTTCTTCGATTATGAACAAACTATTTAACTTTGGTTATTATAAACTTACCTGTGTGTTTGAAATCAACTCTGGTTAAATAAAATCCATTGCACAATTAAATATCCCAACGAATAAAAAAGTTCTCTCTTGAAAAATTGAACTCAAACAAACTTTTGACATAGGGCAATACAAAAATGGAAGCCGGTTACGTCACTCTTCGGGAGATATCATTTCTTATAAAGGGGTGTCAGCATGCTACATCGAAACATTTTACAGTACATTTACGACAATTCGTGGTATTAGCCTCGTCTTGGTATTGAGTTTGGGGGTTCGGCCCATATCTCTTTACACATATTTTATTACGGTACTTGCAAAGTTTATACATTTTCTTTTGAAATAATATAATTTTGTTTTAACTATTGGCCCTTTCTATACAGAATTTTTGCAGGAGGGGGTTTGCCAGGTTCCTGAGACAATGTATCTCCCCCCCCCCCCTCCCACGTGGTCTCTATCGTCATATTGGCGTATATACATACACATTGAGCTTTTCAAACAGAGAAATTCAACACCTCGTTTGACGTCAATTTTTATTATGAATAAATACAATGACATTGTGATTCAATTTCATGGATGCAAAGCATTAATTATGATATCACAAAATGTCTATATCATTATCTCGTGCTTTGAGTGCCCATCTTGTCCCACATCTGACGATAAAGGATAAAGCACACGGCCGAGAAAAAGTATTGATTTACAAAAAAATTATGTAGCTGAGCAGGGGGGGAGGGGGGCAACCCCCCCCCCCCTCTGGATCCGCCCCTGTGACTGTGGATATTTTCCCTAATTACGCTCCGGTCAAAACTGTTGAATTTGGAAGTAAATGTACGCTTCTTACAAGGTCTTATAGGTTTTTTGGCATTATACACCCACAGAATTGGCACCTTCAGGGCTGCCGCAACACGCTTGTATATATTGCTGAAATGGTTATCATTTCCTCGAAAGAATGATATTAAGTTAACGATGCACTCGGAAACTTCGGTCGTGAGCTTCATGTTGTTTCTTTAAATTATTTATAATACATGTATAAAGAAGATAGGGAAGGTTTAGTTTAAATACGACTTTATTTTTACGAGTATCCGTGCAATCATTGATATTTTCATTGTGAATAAAATTTGGTAGACTGGCCATCAATGGTTTCAATATATATCTTCTATGTAATTGCCTTTAGTTAAAAATTTTCGTCGCCCAAACTCAAGCGATCGAAACGATCGCGGTTTGTTTTCATAGCAACACGTGGTTGTCAAACTCGCTGTCAAAACTAAACGCCCCCACAACAATTTTAATGGTTTCGTCCAACACGTGACGAAAACCATGTTGTCTCCCACTTAGTAGAAAATATAAGTAAACACGTCAAATTTTTCAAGAGATAACTTTTTTATTCGTTGGGATATTTAATTGTGCAATGGATTTTATTTAACCAGAGTTTATTTCAAACACACAGGTAAGTTTATAATAACCAAAGTTAAATAGTTTGTTCATAATCATAGAAATCCGTTTATAAAATAGCAAGGTTCACACAGTAAGGAAGTTACGATCCAATATGCGCAAATATCGAAAGGAACCAAGATCTTTGGGTTATAAACTTACATTTCAAGTTTCGTCAAAATCAGAAGAAAATTGTGATCTCTAGAGGGTCCACAACCTTGATATACCACATTTTTACGCTATTTGAGAACGAGAGACAGCCATTTTGTGTGTCAGTTTTGGTCCGTTTTCACGAAATTCGAATCCAACCATCCTTAGGGTGTAAAGGTGATATATTCAAACGTTTTTTTAAATCAGATAATAATTGTGACCTCTAGAGGGTCCACAAGTTAAAAACGCGATTTTTCGTACAATCAGGGGCCATAATTCAGGAAGTTACAATCCGATATGCGCGAATATCGAAAGGAACCAAGATCTTTGGGTTATAAACTTACATTTCAAGTTTCAACAAAATTGGATAAAAATTGTGACCTCTATAAGGTCCACAAGCTAAAAAACGTGATTTTTCGTACAATCGGGGGCCATAATCCATGAAGTTTTGGTCCGATACATGCCAATATCAAAATCAACCAAGATCTTTTGGAGATAAACCTATATTTCAAGTTTCGTCAAAATCGGATAAGAATTGTGACCTGTAGAGTGTCCACAAACAATTGTGGACGGACAGGGACAGGGGCTACGGCAATATACGTCCACATGAAAAAGTGGGCGTATAAAAGCTAACAAATCCGAAATTCTACCTCTCTAAGTCAAAAACTTTCTGAGATATGGTCATTTGAAATTAGTGTGCTGAAACGGATCATAAATTCACAATTTTTTTCAGGTTTTCAGGTGCTTTAAACTCACATTTCTAATAGATTGAATGTATATCAGTTTATATATATTAGTATTATATTATTATACGTGTTGCGACCCAATTATGTCAATTTCTAGGTTCCAAATAAAAATTTTAAGAATTGAAAGTATATCTCTTTATGTACACTCCTTATTACATTAATACATGCCTTTAGACACATTTTCGTCAATTTTAAGGTTCCAAAGAAAAGCTATACAGCCTTTAATAGCATAAATTTCAGGTTTCATTTCTACCTAGTAATAGAATCATTAACTCTGGTTTCCTCTGTGTGATCTTTCATTTTCTCTGTTTTTTTATAGAAGTAGTTTGTATATAATGAGTGTGGCTTATGGCAGTAAAAACTGTAAATATCCAACATGTAGTCTGGAAGATTTACTGTGTTTTAACTCACAAGATGAAGTAGAAAATACACTTGAAAAATGTGGTTTACCAGTTAAAGATGGTAGTGTTTGTTTCCAGAAATCTCTCTTTAAACAAGAAGACAAGGTATTGCTACATTTGTATGGATTGAAAAATTAAGATGTTGATTTTCACTTCAATGTAATAAAATTGCTCTCACAAGGTTTATGCAAGGTTTCTGAAAGTGGAGGATAAAAGAGGACTTTTGTAAAATGTCATGTAAAGATGCCCTATCGATTACCATACTGTTGTGCTCATCTATTTAAACTATTATTTGAGTATAACTAATTTTTAATTTCAAATTTATAGTTTATATAAATTTCGGGACTAACAGATGGTTCAATTTTATTTTAATAATTCGCTTGCACGTAGGGGTCTTTAGAGGACCCAGACCCAGAGAAAACCCACTAGGTTGGACAGGTGACCCTACTCCTTGTCACGTACAACCGGGCAATCGAAACCACGGCATTTGACTAAATGACAGACCTTATGATACAGCGTGCACACGCTAACCATTCGGCCATCCAACGCCCCCTATTAAAATATATAACATACCATTAAATTAATGTAAAGATAAATATATACAGTTTGTTCACATTACTTTTTATACGCCCACATTTAAATGTGGTCGTATATTGTCGTCGCCCTCGTCCGTCCGTTGGTCCGGCGTCCACAATTGCTTGTGGACGCTCTAGAGGCTAAAGTTAATATCCGATTGACTTTAAATTTATAATCAGATTTTAGTGTATTATAAATGTTTCATTACCGAAAATTAAAAATATGCAACAACTCTTGTTGACTGCCCGGACGATTTAGCTGCTGTGGGAGTATGTTTCGTTGCCTGGCAAACCTATCTTTGTTTTAATTCAAAATTTACTTTACAGGTGTCATGGAAACCATGGCAACAATTGGAGAATTTATTGAATCGCTGTAATTTAACTGGTATCCTCCTTGGAAAATCAGACAGAATACCGCTACCAGATATATCAAATCTTTCTTTTAACGACAGATGATAGCACATTTGTATTTCATCTCATTATCACTTTAAATTATTTACAGATTTTTATACATTACATATTTTCATGATGATAAATAACCAAAAATGAAATGTCTTTCAACAGATCACATAATGAATTTATTTTATATCAAAATCCATATACTGGAATCATTAAATGTATTGACAGCCATTTTATTTTTATTTTAAAATTGATTTTTAATGGACACTACATTGAAATTTTAGTATTTTAGTGCTTAAATATTTTATGAATTATTTTATTCTGGGAATAGAATTTTTATAGTACTGTTATTTGATAAAGTTGTATTAGTATATCTGTATGATGATAATTTATGTATATATTGTGAATGCTTTATTCATCTATAGTGTATTAAATGTTATATAAACTCATCAAAAAAATGTACCTTTGTTTTTGAACCAGATGTGAGCTCAAAGCCCGATTCATCCATTGATGAGGGAGCCGTGATAGCTCAGTGAATAAAGTGCTGGCTTGTTTACCTGGAGGTATCATCGAGATTTTCTGGCACTGTTTGCCCTTATCAGTAGTGCAGGAACGAGGCCCTACCTGGAAAGGGACAGTATCTAGTCATTGCCATGCACATAAAAGAACCCTTGACAGGTGGTATTCAAAGTAAGAATAGGTGGCAGTAGCTCTGTATGGGCAAAACTTCCATCATAGCCCACTGTATGACATATGCCCATCTTCATTAGCCCAGTGGTGCAGAAAATTGATTGGTGAAAATATCAGTTATGTTGTAATAATTCACCTCCTAGTATTTGTTAATCACCCACAATAAATACAGCTATTTATTCTAGTTGCAATTGTCACTTATACACTTCTATGTTAACATAGCTCTGTCTAGACCCAATTTCAATGTTGCCTGACAATCTATAGGTTGTTGAAAATCTGTTAATCGGCTGTACCGGATATGGACAAAGTTGAGTATAAGTTCAAAAGTTTAATTAGATGACTGAGAGATTCAAAGTTAGATTTGAAAATATAAAAGTCATTCTCTAGGACTTTATTTGATCCACAATTGGGGCCCCATTTTAACACCTGGCCCGCCTTCGGTTATCGTGATTTCCTAACTATGTTTGAACTAACTGAATCCGAATTTCATTTAGTCCGGACCATAGTCCGAAAATACTGAACCATGCTATTGTGGTGTCGATGAAACCAAAGTGTAGAATATTTAAAAAGAATCTATTTTTGTTAAGTATATGATTTTAGGATGGCTTGGATGAATTTTAAATGGTTGCTACCTCTATGATCAGATATTTTTTGTCTCGTATGTTATGTCTGAATCTATGTAAGTCTAAAAATTACACATAATTTCAATACTTGCGCTATGCAAAAAGTAAAGTCAAATTACAAGGAATTTTGTCGCCTCTAAAATTAATTTAACTTCATGAAAGTATTATTTGTTTATTAAACTATATAATACGGAGAGATTTATAAGGTTATTGTCGAGGTCTAAAGCAGAGTAAAATGACATCACCATGTCCCTGGGGGCAGCCATCTTTGAACAGACGATGGTCCGGACCATCAGCGTTCGGTTTCTAGTTCCGACCTCTAGTTGTGAAAAAATTATAACCGAAGGTCACCTTGACTGTTGCATTAGATAGAGCCCCATTTATAACAAAGATAGGTTGCCAGGCAACAAAACATACGCCCACAGCAGCTAAATCGTCCGATCGGTCGACAAGGGTTGTCGCATATTTATTCCTTTGTAGGTAATAATCAGATCAGATTATAAATTTTGTCGTTTGAGGGTTTACAAGGTTCTACAAACTGAAACAAGGGTCTCAACTCTGGTAGTAATCTACAGAAATTGTTGAAATTTGACAGGCTTTTTCGTTTTACTAATTTAAATAATGCATATAAATTTCATACAGATCACATGATCACTTTTGTCATTCAAACGTTCACAATCGCCATAACTCTAGAAATTATTGACGGAAATTGCTGAAATTCAATAGACCTGTTTCACAAATTTAAATGATGCATAAAAATTTCATACATATCGGATGATAACATCCATCAATCGAGCATTAACAAGGTTTAACAAAGTAAAACAAGGGCAATAAATCTAGAAGTAATTATTGTAAATTGCTGAAATTTAAAAGGCTTTTTCGTTCACAAGGATCAATAAAGTGAAACAAGGGGCATAACTCTAGACGTAATAAACGGAAATTGCTGAAATTCAATAGGCTTCTTCGTTTTACTAATTTAAATAATGCATGTAAATGTCAGAAAGATCGGATGATAACTTTTGGAGTTAGTTACAGATCGGTTGATAACTTTTGTCGTTAGAGCGTCCACAAGGTGCAACAAAGTGAAACAAGGGCCATAACTCCAGACGAAATTAACGGAAGTTATTGAAATTAAATAGGCTTCTTCATCTCACTAATGCAAACAACATATATCAATTTCAAAACAATCAGATGATAAATGTAGTCTGTAGAGTGTTCACAAGAAATTGTGAACGACGGACGGACCGACGGCAATATACAACCACATTTCCATGTGGGCGTATAAAAAGGGTTCTGTGGGTAATTTTGACTTTGACTTGAACTTGGCAGAAAATGTTAATACAAATATAATAGGCTTTGAGGTTTGCTCTGAAATTTGACGAAAGTTTATGCATTGATACGATTGACTAGAGTTTGTAACTTGATCGACTTCTTGCAAAGTTTCCTCATATACCCTTTTATTGGGGACTGTATGTCTTTAAAAAGGACTGGCTGGGATTCGTGCCTTGATTGAACTTTGTAACTTATGTTCTAATACTAAAAAGTACTCTCCCAGTATATAACCCAGAAATCACCAAAACCAATCTATTTTTCAAAACTTTGCACTAAAACTGGACCCTACACTAATTAACTTGTCCTGGGTTAAACTGACCCTGTTAATCAGTCTTCATTTGACACAGAACACATTCGGGACTAACATATGGTTTAATTTTATTTCAATAATTCGCATGTGCGTAGGGGTCTATAGCAGTGGGAGGAAACCGGAGGACCTGGAGAAAACCCAAGAGGTTGGAAAGGCAACCCTTCTCCTTGTTACGTACAACCGGGGATTCAAAACCACGCCAGTTGACTCAATGACAGGCCTTATGATACAGCGCGCACATGCTAACCATTCGGCCATCCAACACCCACACACACACACACACACCCACACACCCACCCACCCACCCACCCATAAAATGCACCCATAACAAGATTTGAATTCCCATCTTCAAGAACTTATTTTTTTATTATTTGTCAGAAATATTTTGCCCACCTACAAGGATGTCTGGGCTTTGTAATAGTACAAATATCAATGTTGCTTGAGTTGTGTTATTTATCTTTGATGAACTATTTGGTAATATTCTTACTATATTTATTGTATAAAATATAAAAATGATCTCACAAACAGAACATTGATAACTTATAAAATATAAATACGTAAAAAAAAAAATAAAATACAACCCATACATGAAAAATATAAGTAATATTTATTTATACAAATATTATGTTAAAACAATTTGTGCACCTTTTATCTTTTATGAAATAATTACAAATTTAGTTTGAAATAATCAAAGTAAATCATTAATGAAAACCTAAAGTATACAAATGCATTGCATTATGTGTGATTTAAAGGGGCAATAACACTCTTGCTGGCTTGAAAGCTCCAGAAAATAAATAATATCTCTATCTAAGTACTAGATGTTTAAGTGTCCTACCTGTTGTGTAAATTATCCATTACATCCTATTTTACTTGTCCAGAGGGTTCGAAAATATTTTTAAATCGAAGTTTCATTTGAAAAGGTTTACGTTACACGTTTCAAACCATTATGTTGAATTTTTCAAAATTTTTAAATAAGGTGTGTTAAGATGAAATTTGTATCATCAATTAATTGAAATATTCTAAAATAGTACAATTTTTTGACCAGAATAAAGATTGGGACATATTATTCAGTTACAACAAGAGTGGTATTGAGCCTTTAATGGTTGAGAGCGAGACATTGAGTAATATATTGAAACGTCACTTGTGTTGTTTGGATATATTACACTACATCTTAAGGTCGAGACCATTAAACAACTTAAAATACAGACACTCCACATGCTTTGCAATGAAATATGTCACACTGGTCCGAAATTTTAACTAGTATAAATTATTTACGCTTGGCACATTGCCCATACCATTATTTGAAATAATGATACACCAACATCAAAGGATGAGGTCACATCTGTATTTTAAGATGTGATATTTTATTAATTGCTCAGAATTAAATTGTACAAAGTATTTAGTACATGTACATGTATTAGGCAATTTTAGAATTTTAACTTAAAAGATCAAAGCCATTTGACCAATGATAGCCTACCCTCCTACATCCTGGTCTAAAAATAATATTTTGAGGAGATTCTTACTACTGTCAGATGTGAAAAGTACTAATAATTATCATTTAGTCAATTAAAAACTCACTTTCAGGGAATATACGATTATCCACATCTAAATTATGAAGTAAGGTTACCTTTTTAGAGTATTCCTACCTAAGACTACACACCAGGAGCTACATAACCATTAATTGTGTTCAACCTCTAACTGTTACACAGTGTCAAACTGATATTCAGGATCATAAAAAAAAAACTGAACATTGCCTGTGCTCTTGAAATTAATATCAATAAATAAAATAACCTTATCTGTAGAGCACAATCTAAAATTGTATTTGTACATCCACTGGCAAAGACAATAAGTGCATAAATGAAAGTGTATTTGTCTTATACCAGGGATTCACTATTGACATTCTGATTTACCCAATACCACCGAATACTAACTAAATACTATTAAATACCACCACATACCTCATATCTCCATATGCTCACCCAATACTACAAAAAACAACCACATACTACCTTATTTATTATCCCAAACTGGCAGAATTCTTCAATTACTGCAATATCAATGAGTTAATTCCAACAAAAAGTGTAAACATTTGAAATATTTTTTTTTACAGTATCAGTGAATAAATAATTTATTTTCCTCTAACAAACATATTGTTATCCAAATAATTGTACTTCTACCTCATTTTTTGTAATATTGGCCCATTATTTTACAGAAATGGATGATTCTTGATAACATGGTTTAATATTTCTAAGTATTGGGTGATCAAGGGAGATAATTGGAATAGCGAGGCATTCAAAATCACATTTGTCATACAATTTTTTTGCATGTTTTCCACAAATTTATTTTATATAATTACATTATTATGTTAGTTTTTCACAATAAGCAGGTAGTATTTGGTAGTATTTAATTGGTATTAAGTGGTATTGGGTAAATCACAAGGTCTGTCACTGTCAAGTGACCCCTACCCTCAAGCGAATTAATTATTGAAATATTTAACCATATGTTAGTTCCAAAATGACGAGTGGATGTTAAACTCCATTTCTCTCTTAGCTCCTATAGCTTCAAAAACAGCCATGCATGCATACACACACCTACCATAAACAAAATCTAGCAACGGTCCTAATAATACCAGTGACAAATCCATTATTGTTTCTATGAAAGTGTAAATTTGAGCTTTTCATTCGTTGGGGTGATACTGCAGTATACATGTACTGAGGTTGTAGCTGATTAACATGAATGTCATATTCAGGTCCAGATATGCACTACAAATCTCCACTAATCAAATATCATGCATCCACTACAACCTAATAATACCAGTAACATCAACTTAATTTATTTTGTTACAGGGTTTTAAAATTAATCAACTATGGCAGTTATTATGGAATGTTAAATTGATACATTTATTATGAAATATGTTAACTCAATGAATATCTTTATTAGTTGTATTAGGTAAACGTATTGAAACCAGTCCACCAAAAGCTAATAAGGCTGCCACTAATAACATTGGTATAGCACAATGAACGTCAACTAGTTCACCAAATATAATATTTCCTAGAATAGCTCCAACACGTGCTAGTGCTTGCTGAATACCCATAGCTGTTGACCTAAAATAAAAGAAATAAGAAATATATTTGAGCAAAAGAACGCGTGAAATTACAAGTTTCTATTTTGATGGCATATTCTTGGGTTTATGGTAATATATTGAATGGGGTTTGTGTTTAAAAAAGAAAAGAAATAAACAAGCTAAGAAATGTCAACAAATATTCCGATTGGAATAGTGTACATGTAAGTAGCGTGCGAGTGCTATTATTTAGCAGATGTTGTCACTGGCTCGGTATCATGGAGCGACGGCAATACGATTAACGCTTGCCAGTCAAATATGTTTTGGAACTTGTGATATTTGTCTATACACATGTTTAAAGGCTATAGTTTAACCAGCGGCTGCCAGGCAGGATACACCCACATTTTCCAAGAGATGGATAGAGAACAAGCTAAAACAAATGCGAAATTTTGTACAATCAGGGGCGATAATCCAGAAATTTATGATCTGAAATGCGCAAATATCAAAAGGGACTGAGATCTTTGGGATATAAAGATATGATTTAAGTTTCATCAAAATCAGATAAAAATTGTGACATCTAGAGGGTCGACACCCTTCGTATTACACACTTTTACACAATTTGCGTACAAAGAGCAGCCATTTTGTCGGGAAGTTTCATTTCCATTTTCCCGAAATTCGAATTCAACCTTCATTATGGTACAATGGCGATATATTTAAACAGTTTTTAAAATCAGGAAAAAAATTGTGACCTCTAGAGAATCAGCAAGCTAAAAATGCAATTTTTGAACAATCGGGGGCCATAATCCAGGAAGTTACATTCGGATATTCGCGATTATCAAAAGGAACCATGATCTTAGTGTGTAACTGTGATATATTCACACGTTGTATAAAAATTGTGACCTCTACAGGAACCACAAGCTAAAAACGTGATATTTTGTACAATCAAGGGCCATAATTCAGGAAGTTTTGGTACGAATTTCACGAAATTCAAACTCAACCAAAATTATGGTGTAACAGTGATATATACGAACGTTTTTTTTAAATAGGATAATAATTGTGACCTCAAGGGACCACAAGATAAAAACGTGATTTTTCGTACAATCAGGGGCCATAATTCAGGAAGTTACGATCCGATATGCACGAATATTGAAAGGAACCAAGATCTTTAAGTTATAAACATGCATTTCAAGTTTCGTCAAAATCGAATCAAAATTGTGACCTCTAGAGGGTCCACAACTTTGATATACCAGATGTTTACACTATTTGCGTACGAGGGGCGGCCATTTTGTCCGGCAGTTTTGGTTCTATTTTCACGAAATTCGAACTCAACCAAAATTACGGTGTAATGGTGATATATTCAAACGTTTATTTAGCCCTTAATTGGTCATTGTCGACTATAATCACCACAAGTTTCATCAAAATCGGATCAAAACTGTGACCTTTAGAGGGTCCACAACTTTGATATGCCAGATGTTTACACTATATGTGTACGAGGGGTGACCAAAATTACGGTGTAACAGTGATATATTCGAACGATTTTTTAAATCGGATGATAAAAACATGATCTTTCGTACAATCAGGGGCCATAATTCAGGAAGTTACTATCCAATATGCGCCAATATTGACAGGAACCAAGATCTTTGGGTTATAAACATGCATCAAAATCGGATCAAAATTGTGACATCTAGAGGGTCCACTTTGATATACCAAATGTTTACACTATTAGCGTATAAGGGGCGGCCACTTTGTAACAGTGATATATTCAAACAGTTTTTTAACCCTTAACCGGTCATTGTCGACTATAATCATTTGAGTATTTAGTTTCATATTTAATTGATATCGCCACGCATGCGTGTCAGACAGGAAGTTGTCTTGTCAAGTGCATTGAGAAAAACATGTCTTTGTTCAACATTTTTTGACGAAAAACGTAATTTAACGATGTCGGGAAGGTTAAAGACGCTCGAGGTGGTTGAAACTATTCCGACTCAGATTATATCGATGACACCGATTCTGAAGACGATATTTCTGATGAAAAGGATTTAGAATGATTTGCAAATTATAGATCAACTTATCCCCTTCAACTTTTTTATTGGTGTCAAGAGTCTATCACTTATAATTATTCCGCAGTTGTCGATTGAAATAGGCATACAAAATATTTTACGTCGGCCTTTATTTAGCCTGACCACTTGACATCATGACGTCAAAATGACTTCGACCAGTTACGGTTTAAATCGGAATAAAATTGTGACCTCCATAGGGTCCACAAGCTAAAAAGACATGATTTTTCGTACAATCAGGGGACATAATTCAGGAAGTTACAGTCTGATATGCGCGGATATCGAAAGAAACCAAGATCTGGGTTATAAACTTACATTTCAAATTTCAACAAAATCAGATAAATATTGTGACCTCTATAGGGTCCACACGCTAAAAATGTGATTTTTCGTACAATCAGGGGCCATAATCCATGAAGTTATGGTCCGATACATGCCGATATCGAAAGGAACCGAGATCTTAGGGAGACAGACCTATATTTCAGGTTTCGTTGAAATCGGATAAAAAATTGTTGCCTGTAGACTGTTCACAAACAATATACGTCCACATGAAAATGTGGGCATATAAAAAGCATAAGAATTAGACATTCTTGTAAAAAAATTAACTATTTATTTAAAGTGACAAGCCTGTGAGGCAGCATATAATTTCTTACCTAACTTCTGTTGGAAAAGCTTCAGCTGAAAGAACATCAAGTGCATTCCAGCCTACTGTTGATACCATACCAAATAAACAAGACATAACTAAATTCTCTACTTTAGTTTGAACAAACCATATAAAAAATACACATATACCAGATATGACCATACTTGAAGCTAAAAATATACAAAAGAATAAAAACAATAAAATAGAATGAGAATACTTTCAGCAAAGATTCAATCTCCATCAATAAACATTACAGTTTTACTGTATTTGAGACAGATCAGTGTTAGTAACTAAGTAATGGCTAAATACTTACAGGGTTCGACCTCTCATAATCCCAATTGATTAAGAACTGTAGACTCCATTGCATTAACAAGGTTTTTGAAAATGGGGAAGTAATAACTGTAGCCTCTATTGCATTAACAGGTAAAGGCTAAAAGCTAAGGCCCATTGCAGATTTAGTCATAGGTTTGAGATGTGAATAGGGTTAGGGAACGGGTTAGGGCTAGATCATGGAGTGCTGAATATAGATAGTGTTCATCCTACCATCAACCCCAATGTGTCACCTTATTCATCTGTCCAGATCTCTAAAACTATATAAAGGATTTTCATTTACATTTTATTTAAATTAAGTGAATGAAGAAGTAAAATAAAACATACCTAATAATGTCTTTCTACCCAGTCTATCCATCATTATAATAGTAAATATATTAGCAGGCAGATTGGATAAAGCAGTCATGAAGCCTTCAAAAAATACCCAATCATTAGGTGTTCCACAATCTGAGGTACTATTATTATATGTTGCTGTAGTATTGATAACGCCTGGGTTACATGGTGTACCACCATATTTATCTATTCTGTTAAATAACTCAGGAAACCACATAAATAAGCCATAATATCTGTTCAAATATAACATAATTACAATAGTTCAAATTATTGCTCAATATAACTGCATACCAGTATTTACCTTCACCAAATCAACACTAATTCCTATTACTATAATAAATATGTGCATCTTTATAGCAATGCTAACACTGATTAAAGGAGAAGTCCCATATAAATTTTAGTAAATAAAACTGTTTAACTGAGGGCCAAACTCCGGGAAACATGTTCCTATATGAAACTGTCCGAAGATCTGTGATACTAATGAAAATGGGCATATGTCATACAGTGAACTAGGGGGAAAATTTTACTCCGACCGTGGTATTTTTTCCTACTCTTATTTTGATTTCAAACTGTTAAAGGAATTATCTTTAAAATGCTGACAATGGTATAAACGTGAACTCGGTTTTCCATCCCATTTGAATGACTAGATACTTTTCCTTGTCTGATCTTCCATCCTTCACCACTGAGGAAACCAGATTGGAAAATCCAAATGAACTTTCTTAGTCAATTGTATGTATGATATGATAATCATGCCAATCAGGAAATCACAATACCACAATAACCTAAGCAAGTATGGTTATCTTTGCACTTGACAATAGCAAGGAATACAGAGACTTATCACTAACCACATAGAATCTTAAAATCTGTGTGTCAATGAAAGAGTTGTAGTGGATTAGGTTAACAGTTTTTAAGAGTCTTCCACACAGAATTAATCTGTTTGATTCACTAAAATAAATCTAGTATGGATCCTTTAAATTGAATTAAATAACAGATCATCTAATACTCACCCAAACGAAAGAGTAAAATTTATGATTAAAAGTATAATTGTAGGTTTAACTAAACTGCCAGTAAATAAAGTTTTTGTGGATACCAGTAGCTGGAAGAAAGAAAAGATATTCTCTGAAGGGCAACCAGTAGTACCCCCATAGTAACTTTGCATGGATCTTTCAACATTTTTATAGAAACTGATATATAAGCAATAGTAAGTGTAAAAGGCCTTTTTCAAAAAACTGAAAATCTGACACCGTTAATAGAAGTTTTATTAACAACCTGGTTAAAGTTCACCACAGAATAATAGTAAAATTATAGTAAAATAATAGTAAAATTATATAAGTAAAATAATACTAAAATTATATGAATAAAATAATACCAAACTTATATGAGTAAAATAATATACTAAAATTATATGAGTAAAATGAGTTGCCTTACCTGTTTAATAGATTTTATATTTATACATTGGTACCACTTTGAATTATTAGTGTGTTTATTTTGTTCATGTCTATCTGACATACCCATACTATCAATATTATCTTTCTCGTTATCTGATAGTACTAGCGCTTGCACCTTTAATCACAAAATAAGAGCAATATCATATATTATTTCAAATCTACACAAGAAGCTTTCCTGTTAAACTTAAGTCTGAAATACTAGTAATTGTTCTTTTTTCCCTGATTTTTCTAGGATAGTGCCTGGCCTGTAACCCTTATACTTAACACAAGGTACAATTTTATGAATACACAATTACTGAGTTTAATACACGTACATATGGTGTTCTGGGGTGAGAGGGATTCAGAGTATATTAGAGTCCTGGTGTGATCTGCATTTGCCCCCTCATAAATCTTGTCTGGCCTCTGTTTGCTCCCCCCACCCCAATAATTTTGGAAAATAAAAAAAAATTACTTGTGATACGTTTCGGTAATCAATACCTTCTACGGTGATTAAATCCCACATCCCCACTCAGTCATAGACTTGCATGTTGTAGAGTCTGAGTGATTTCTTACCAAGCCCATCCTGCTGTAAACCTACTATAAACAATAACATGTGAACCACTTGAGAAGTGCTTTTTACGAACCTCAAAGTATTTGGGTATATAGGTTCAAAGCAGCGAGAATATGCATTCACTTGATACACTCACTCTGTTCGTTTGACATTTCCCTCTCTGTTCGGATAAGCTGGTGATTTGGCGACGAACAGTATCTGGTCAGCTCTATTTCTGAAATACTGCCTGGCTGCATTTCCGGCAGTCTATTTCACAAAATACTGTGGCGAAAATATTCATTCACTTTGATTCACTCACTCCGTCCGTTTGAAACTTTCCTCTCTGGTCGGATAAACTAGTGATTTGGCGACAGGCGGTATCTGGTAAGCTCTATTTGTCTCAACAATCAGTGCCTGAAATACTGCCAGACTGCATGTCCGGTAGTCTACTTTTCAAATTTTCGGGGGCTTTGTTGAGGTTCGCAAGTCCGTTCATTTGACACTTTCTTCTCTGGGGTCAGATAGACTAGTGATCAGGCAACAGACGATATCTGATCAGCTCTATTTTTCTCGACAATCGATGCCTAAATACTGTCAGACAGCATTTCCGGCAGTCTATTTTTCAAAACTTTCTGGGGGAGGTCCCCCATACCCTCCGTAAGAATTCCCTACTTTGGCGCTTGTGAGTGGGCTTCGTTGAGGTTCGGTCGTTTGACACTTTATCCCAACGATCAGTGCCTGAAATACTGCCGGGCTGCATTTCCGGCAGCTTGTTTTTCTAAAAATTTCTGGGGGCGGCCCCCCTACCCGTAGTTGAAGCTTGTGCCTTTGCCCCCTTAACCTTGGACTTTGCCCCAGCTTTGCCCCTCCAACCTCATCGAAACGTCGCTTAGTATTAAACTCAGTAATTGTGTATCCATAAAATTGTACCTTGTGTTAATATGTTCAATTACTAAATGCCAATCAAGAACAAATTATACTTACTTTGAATGGTTCTTTGTGTTTATTTGTGTGATGTACTTTCTGTAAAGTTCTAATAGCTTCTAATTCTTTACCTGTCTGTAAAATAAATTTAACTTGCCAGGAAATGAAGCATACTCCCACAGTTGCTATGTCATGCGAGTAGTAGAAAGGTTGTAATATATTTATTTTTTGTAGGTAATGGGAGCAATTAAAAGACACTAAAAACTGTAACACATAATTATTTGAAATAATTAAAATTTGATTGGCTTCTAGATCTTATTATTATTATAAAACGTGTACTGTAATCAGATGATAAATTGAGCTGTTCAAGTTATTATTGAAAATCAATAGGGTTCTTCATCTTATGAACAGAAGCACTGTGTATAACCTTCAAGTTAATCAGACAATAACTTTAGCATCTAGAACTTCAACAAAACCTTTCAAATTGATCCGCACAATTTTTGCATGAGGTGGACAGAAAACAAGCTGAAAAAAAGCAATTTTTTTGTACAATCAAGTGCCATAATCCAGGAAGTTACACGTGTAACTATCGACAGAAACCCAGATCTTTGGAATATAAACATCAAAATTGTATAAAAATTGTGACCTCTAGAGGGTCCACAGCCTTTGTATTACATACTTTTACACTATTTGTGTGAAATTAGAACTCATTAATGATGACATTTTTAAATCAGATAAAAATTGTGAACTATAGAGTGTCTACAAGGGGCCATAATACATGGAGCTATTGAGTGTCCATAAAAAAATTGTGGACGGATGGACAGGCGGACAGAAAGGGGCGATGACAATATCCGTCCATATGAAAATCACTAAGGCATTTTTTATATAAACAATATTTTATTCTCAGAAAAGGATTGAGGAACAGGCTAGGCATATATTATGTGCAAGTATTGACAGAAACCCAGATATTTGGAATATAAACATATATTTTAAGTTTCATCAAAATCAGATAAAAATTGTGACCTCTAGAAGTTTGTTTTATATACTTTTACAGTATTTGTGTACGTGGAGCGGCCATTTTGTCTGTCAGTTTTGGTCCAATTTGCATGAAATTCAAACTCAACCTTCAATATAGTTTAACGGTGATATATATAAACAGGGGCGATGACAGACGACCCTACTCCTTGTCATGTACAAGTGTGGGATCTAAATCACTCGACTTGACTCACTGACAGACATTTTGATCTGAAGCATCTGCATTAAAATATATCTTTTTACACATACTATTTGGTTCATTGTGTTTTAATTTGAATGTTTTCTCTGACAATATGTTTCTAATTTGTAACTTCTGTGTACTGAATTCAATTAACGTTTGTTCCGCACTGTCAAATATATGGAAAATAGAATTATATGTTAAATATTATTATTGACAGGACTAGCATCACATATGCAGATCATCATGTTAATTTATCTATCTTTACTCATGATCAATTATTATTATCTGCTTGAAAGAACAATTGTTAAACATAATTTATATATCTTATATTTAAGGTGAACCTGACAGAAGCATGTAATTAATGTATTTGTGTAGGTATAATAAAATATTATACTTTCACACATTCCTAATTTTATTCAGGTTAATGAACTAGGTTTGTTTTTCATAAACAATATTTTATATCATTTGAAATTGGATTGTGGAACAGGGTAGACCTATGTTGACTCTTCTGAGAAGTGGTATTAAGTGTCCCAGTTTAAACATCAGATTCTACATGTCTTATAATATTCTGTACATAATCAATAAATTATCTGTGAATGGTTGCACTGTAGTTATTATTTAGAATTCTAGTATCATATTATCATTGAACCTATACATTTTGGTTGTAATCAATTGAGTGGGTTAGGGAAAAGGGTCAAAATACTTTATTTCAACAAGTCTTGAAACACATCACCAGTGGCAAGCAGAGATAGGGGACAGAGGCAGGGGCGCCGCAACGGCAGGGCTATGGGTGCCAATGCCTCCTCCCCCCTGCCTCCAAAAGCCTGGGGCAATTGTCCCACTGCCCTTACTTTTTTGCTGACTGTCCTTAACCAGCTGCTGCCAGGCAGGATACACCCACATTTTGCATGAGATCGCTAGAGAACAAGCTAAAAACAAACAGGATGTTTTGTACAATCAGGGGCAATAATCCAGAAAGTTATGGTCTGAAATGCACAATATCAAAAGGGACTGAGATCTTTGGAATATAAAAATATGATTTAAGTTTCATCAGAATCGGATAACAATTGTGACCTCTAGAGGGTCAACAACCTTCGTATTGCATACTTTTACCCAATTTGAGTACGAGGGGCGGCGATTTTGTCTGTCAGTTTTGGTCCAATATTTACAAAATTCTAACTCAACTATCCTTAGGGTGTAATGGTGATATATTCAAACGTTTTTTAAATTGGATAAAAATTATGACCTCTATAGGGTCGACAAGCTGAAAACACGATTTTTCGTACAATCAGGGGCCATAATTCAGGAAGTTACGGTCCGATATGCGCGAATATCGAAAAGGAACCGAGATCTTTGGGTTATAAACTTACATTTCAAGTTTCAACAAAATCGGATAAAAATTGTGACCTCTATAGGGTCCACAATCTTGATATACCATGTAACGGTGATATACTAAAACGATTTTTTAAATCGGACAAAAATCATTACCTCTATAGGATCCACAAGCTAAAAATGCGATTTTTTGTACAATCAGGGGCCATAATTCAGGAAGTTACAGTCCGATCTGCGCGAATATCGAAAGGAACTGAGATCTTTGGACTATAAACTTACATTTCAAGTTTCAACAAAATCGGATAAAAATTGCGATCTCAATAGGATCCACAACCTTGATATACCATATTTTTACGCTATTTGAGAACGAGAGGCGGCCATTTTGTCTGTCAGTTTTGGGCCGATTTTCACAAACTCGGCCGTCCTTAGGGTGTAACGGTGATATACTAAGACGATCTTTGAAATCGGATAAAAATTATGACCTCTATTGGGTCCACAAGCTAAAAACGTGATTTTTCATACAATTAGGAGCCATTATTCAGGAAGTTACGGTCCGATATGCGTGAATATCGACAGGAACTGAGATCTTTGGGTTATAAACTTACATTTCAAGTTTCAACAAAATTGGATAAAAATTGTGACCTCTATAGGGTCCACAACCTTGATATACCATATTTTTACACTATTAGAGAATGAAGGGCGGCCATTTTGTCTGTCAGTTTTGGGCCGATTTTCACGAAATTCGAACTCGGCCGTCCTTAGGGTGTAACGGTGATATAATAATACGTTTTTTCAAATCGGATAAAAATTATGACCTCTATAGGGTCCACAAGCTAAAAACGCGATTTTTCTGTACAATCAGGGGCCATAATTCAGGAAGTTAAATGTCCGATATGCGCGAATATCGAAAGGGACCAAGGTATTTGGGCTATAAACTTACATTTCAAGTTTCATCAAAATAGGATTAAAATTGTGACCTCTATAGGGTCTGCAACCTTGTATACCATATTTTTACGCTATTTGAGAACAAAGGGCGGCCATTTTGTCTGTAAGTTTCAACAAAATCGGATAAAAATTGTGACTTCTATAGGGTCCACAAGCTAAAAACGTGATTTTTCATACGAATAGGGGCCATCCGATACATGCCAATATCGATAGCAACTGAGATCTTTTGGAGATAAACCTATATTTCAAGTTTCGTCAAAATCGGATAAGAATTGTGACCTGTAGAGTGTCCACAAACAAATTATGCACGGACAGGGGCGACGACAATATACGTCCACATGAAAATGTGAGCGTATAAAAATGTTTTTTGTACAAATGAGATTGTCTGACCATCCTTCTCGCAGCAGCGCAAAATATACCTCGGTTAGGTACATGTTACCATACTATGTCATGATAAGATTTTATATTTTTGAATATATCCGATGAAATTCTATAAAAACAGGATTCAGGTGATTTTGTTTGATATGCTACGTCGAAATCAGTTATTGATTCTAGTGATCTGTGTTGTATTTTGATCTGATAGGTTTTAACTGATAACCTGCCAGAAGACATCAGATTTCATTGTTTCTACACCAGATTTTCACAAATTTTCTTGGGGGAAGACCCCCGGACACCTCTTAACCCTGGTTTGAGATACACTCACCATCTGCTGCAACCCTCTTGCCCCCCTGTTTTTATATAATAAACGACGGGTTTAAGATGAAAACGTATCATGTATATTGAGTTAGTTGCTCGGTCCAAAGGTAGAAGATTTTAATGGCTTTTAACATAAAATTAAGCAGTTTTATTCTCCAAAATATAGTCCAGATCGACCCTTTATATAAGAATCCAGACGTAGGCTGGTCACCTGAAGGATGTAAATGTAATTATCATTTTTCATATAGTTGTTCGCATCGCCCCACTTTGCATGTCATTAAACATAAATTGTGTCTATTTCATTTTTTCAATGGATTTTAATTTAATTGCTTTTGCAATTTTTATACATACAAATGAGTGCCAATTACATAAAATTTCATGAGATATATTAAATATATCGTTTATTATATAAAAAAAAAAAGAACAGCATATTTGTAATTAATAATATTCAAAGGCCTAAAAAACAATTATTGAGTTCGCACCGCTTTGGACTTGGCTGATTTTCATTTTTCACATCTCTTTGTTGGAAATATTGTGTGAACATATGAAACTGCAACAAAGAATGTAACAAACTCTTTTATGCAAGGAATGTCATTTCTAGTCGACTTTGCCTTGTGTTTTTTTCTCTACATAATTGCTTGAAAGTGTCACCAAATAATGTTATGCTGTCCTCGATACGCTCGATGAAACTTTGGTTTGGCTGAACCCCACCCCCAACTCTTTTGAAAAATCATGTATCCAACCTTGTGAACAGCCTCGTTCTGGTCAAAATACCTCGTTCCAAAAACATGGCAATTTAAAAAAAAAATACATTTTGGAACTCCAGACAAACGTGGCATTTCGTTTTTACTACGTTACAACTTGGCAAAATTGTGGCAAAAATTTTATTAGCACGTTTTTGCTGCGTTTGGACAAAAATGTCGAACGAGGCATTCTGAGGTTTATAGTGTTGATGATAGCTGCTAGGAATATCAGGGTGAGTTCTACTCAATTTCACTCAACACCCTCTTGTATAACCCCCTAGTTTCTGCACGTCATAGACTGACCTAGGTGTTCATTTCCTTCCCAAATATGGAATAAGCACCCCCATTCTCCCCAAACCAGGGGGAGAACATTACCTTATTTGGTCTATCAACCACATGTCATAAACAGATAGAGACACATGGACAGAAGCTCCAGAACTAGACCCGCCAAGTTTGTTAACTAATTCACCCAATGCCAACTTAAAGATTGAAATTCATAGTCAACGATTCGCACTATAGGTGCTATACAATCAAGGAATTGGTTCAGGGCATCACAAACCTTTGCATGCAACTGAGCATCACCCAATCTATAGCTACCTACCTACAAAATTTGCTTGAAATCCTAAAAGAATTCCAACACTCCTAAATTAAATTCAGAAAGACTGCATCATAATTGAAGCCCCTATGGTACAAACAAACTACTATAACAAAGAGGAATAATATTGGAAGATATTACTGAAAGTTTTGAAAATCAATAGTTTTCTTCCTTTCAAAAGAATAGACAACATAAATATAAGAAAGTGAGGTTAATAATTGCAGTATCAAGTTATAACAAGATTTCATGACATAGCAACTTCAATTTGGTTGTGATTATCAAAAAACGTTGAAAACCAGAAGTCTTCTCCATTTTAATGGGATAGACAATCAATTTCAATAAGATATGGATTATTTTATCTTCCGGAGTGGTGCCTAGAAAAATGTTACTGACAGGAGTGACAGCAATATAAAGAATATAAAGAAAAACTCTAATATCAAAATCAAATATTTTATTGCTTAATGCTGTTTATTTATTTCATATATTAACTAACCAAATGAGAAGCAGCAGCATAGGTTTCAAAAAGCATAAGCATACCCTGCCGCATGCACAATACATACCACTACCTATAGCTAATGGGAGTGGAGGATTGGGTCTGGATTTTGGACTTAGGTGTTCTAGAAAAGCATGCCTTGCATTTAAAATTTATCTTTTAAAAAAGTTTGAGATGCAAACCTCATAAAATTTGCTTTCCAACAGAGCGAAACGATGGTATCGATACTATATATTTTAATGTTGATAAATGAACTTACCCGAAGAAGAAATTTGGGACTCTCTGGCATGAGAACAAACATAGCTGCTGATGACAGACTAGGTATGGTACATAATGCAATAAATATTCTCCAACTGTTATATTTAAATGTAGGAGAGAAATAGCCTAATCCTTCATGTGGTATAACTAACCAAGCTAACCCTGTAAAATATATATTACAATGATGTACATTTACACAGAGCTAGATCAACACAACTCAGTTGGGCTTTAAAGACGTCCATGACTACAATTTAACAAATTGTATAAGTTACATAATATCACATTCAAAATAAACTTGGAATCACCAAATTAGAGCAAAATCAAAGTGCTGAACTAAATAGATTGAGCAATGTACTTTGCACGAATTATCTAATTTGACACTACCCATATAGAGCCGGAAATAATCACAAATGATATTTAAAACATATTAATCACAGCAATGGATAATCTAATGTATGATTTCCCCCCAATCATTTCCCTTTTTTTAAATATCAGTGTGGTTTTAAGGTTCATGTACATCTATATCCTTGTCATCACATGGTGCTTTTCAGGTCTTTGATGTTAAATATGTCTGTTAATTGTTTGAACTCTTCTAATCATTAGTAATAAGAATGGTTTCACATTGTACATATATATAGACCCTCAAGTTTACTGAATGTCATTGTGCTTGATAACGATTAGAGAAAACTCATCGAAACATTGTGCTTGTGTATAATAAACCAATGATTGTTGTCCCATATAACTGTGTCAGTTTTGTAATGGATAATCTGATCTGTCTCAAATTTTGCACATGATCAAAATTTGATTACATCAAATAAATTATAAACTTGAGCCCAATCTCTGTTTAATTTCAAGCAATTCACATGTACTTTAACATCATTAAATGGATCTAGAAAGATTTTGTTAATTTCTTCATCAAATAACATATTTCTACCCCATCTTCATTAGCCCAGTTGGTGCAGAAAAGTAGGGCCTTACCCCATTTGTTTCATTTCATATTCCTACCTGCCGCTAGAATATTACCACCCATCCAGAATGTAGCCAGCAGACTTATCATAGAGCCTCTTTTATTTTTAGGTTGAAACTCGACAAAATAAGTAAATATAACAGGTATACTACCACCAACACTGTCAAAAAATAAAAGTCATATAACCTTATGAAAATTTTAAAAAAGGGCTAAGTTAACCCAATAATTTATCAGTGAATTCTGCCTTCACAGGAAGGATGGATATTACAGTGAATGCAAAACACACCTATCAGATTGAAGTATAATAATTAAATGTGCACACATGGCATTGATATTAGTACTCTGGCTAGAGTCTTACTATGAAGATATATTCGTGAGATCAACCACTTATAGTGCTGTAGGCTAATTAAATATGTACAGATGACATTGATATTTGAATTTTTTTGGGAAAATACAAATCCAAATTTTAGTAGACTAATGTGGTTTTTTCCAGCTCTCACAAACCAGAATATTTATTGTCTGGGTTATTTCAGTATGAGCTGGCCACGATTGATAAATATAAGACTGTACTTACCCAATACCACTGATAAATCTTAATATAAGAAACAACCAGAAGACTTGTGATGTACTAGATAACAAACCACCTAATCCATTAACAGTCAACGACCACATTAATACAGATCTTCTTCCTAAATTATCAGCTAACGAACCCCAAAAATACCCTCCTACCATCATACCTTCAAATAAACAATAACAATACAGGGTTACAAAGACAGCTACCATATTTACAGATGAAAGACAGAGGTGACGGCAATTTAAAAACACATAAAAATGTGGGCTTATAAATGAATTAGCTTATAAATAAAGCTGTAGAGAATATAATGATTTGCGTGGGTTTATCAAGACACAATTAGGAGATAATAATTGTGTCTTGATAAACCTACGCAAATCATTATAGTAGGAGATAATTGTGTCTTTATAAACCCACACAAATCATTATATTCTCTACAGCTTTATTTATAAGCTAATTCATTTATAAGCCCACCACATTTCTATGTGGTTTTATATTGCCGTCACGTTAACCTGGTTAACCCTTCCTCTTGCATGATGTTCGAGTATAAAGTACACCGTAAATTACTGGAATTTACAAAGTTGGCAGATCGGAAGTCTTTGATTACAATATTTCTTCTTAGTTAATATTAATTTGGAAATGTCACATAGTTAGACTTTGAATGATTTTAACTATTTGAAAGTTTATAATGAATATTTACCCACAAATACAATAGCATTCAGCCATCCTTTATCAGATGAAGTAAGATTGAGATCACATGTTGCTGATGGTAGTAGAAATGATACAGATAAGACCTCTACAGCATCACTAGATACAGCCCAACCACATAATAACACCAATAATACTTGAAACTTTCCATAACCTAAATATGATAATTCATATATCCTGTTACTACTATTCAAGTATACATACTGATAGTTTGCCGGGCAACAAAACATATCTCTTTTCCATCCTCCCTCTCTTTTCACTCCCCAATTAGGAAACAAGCCAACATCTACATCAAGTTTAAACATTCTACCTCATTTAAAAGCTGAGTTGTTATGTTCCAAAGTCTTCAATAATCAAATTGCTTATCGCTTCTTAGTCTGAGCAAAAATTCTCATCATCGAACTTAGTCAAGGTAATGATATAATGAATCTATACTCAGAGTTTCATCACTCTCACTTAATTAAAACTAAAGTTTATCATGCCCAAAAAGCATCAACCAAACAAACTGCTCATCTCTGCTTACCGAAAGCAGACAATGTTCATCATCGAACTCCATCAAGGCATTCACCCAATGAACGCCTACCCCAAGTTTGAACATTCTCGCTCAATAAGAAGGAGAGTTATTGTGTTCCAAATTCTCGACCAATCAAATTGCTTATCTCTCTGCTTACCCTCAGTAGAAAATGTTCATCATCGATCTTAGTCATGGTATTGATGAAATAAAGCTATACACTAAGTGTCCTCACTCTCACTTAATTATTGTGTCCCAAGGCATCAACCAATCAAATTGCTTATCTCTGCTTACCCTAAGCAGAAAGTTCTCATCTTCGAACTCCATGAAGGCATTCACCTAATAAAGACCTACGCCACGCCATGTGTGAACATTCTAACTCAATTAGAATAAGAGTAAGTGTGTTACAAAGTCTTGACCAATCAAATTGCTTATCACTCTCCTTATCCTGAGCAGAAAATGCTCATTATCGAACTTAGTCAAGGTATTGATGTAATGAAACTATACACCAAGTTTCATCACTCTCACTTAATAAGAAATAAAGTTATTGTGCCCCAAAGCATCAACCAATCAATGAACAGACAGACAGACAGACAGACAGATGGACGAACCCATTTTAATAGTCCCCTGCTTTCTTCGAAAGGCGGGAGACAATAACTAGAAATGGTATAGAATAAAATACCTGTCTGAACTATAGCCTCCTCATATGTATAAATATCACCTGCACGACTTTCACTTCTTTTACGTTCTGCAGAAGAAAAAAAACCTACATTAATATATTTTTTTTAAAAAGTGAGTGTCTACCCCGATACATGTAATTATACATATGAGCCGTATATAACAAAATGAAATGGGGTTTAACATCCCACTTTTCTGTATCAATTGGGCTAATGATAGCAAACATATACGTTACGCAGTGTGCTACGAAGGAATTTTTGTCCGAATTGCCTACTCAGTACACTGTGCCTTGCTACTGTTTCTCACAAGGTGAAACCTGGAAATTCCTGAGGAACTTTCTTGGCCAATAACAGGAGTAAGCCCAAAACCGCCTCTTTAGCATGCAAATTTTATATAATGAACAGTAAAAAAAATAGTGCACAAATACAAGCTAATATAAGTGCAACTAAAGATACATGTAGGGCTACTGCTAGGCAATATGTGAAATTATGAACATCGCAATAGCGCATAAACAAGGATAATAATTCTGACAGTAATCCCTGAAAACCATTAGGTTTACCAGTTATATCGAACTGTGTAAAAAAAAAACAGATAAAAGCTTTGTGGACAATAGACTTGGGCGACAACAAAAAACATATAATATTGTTAGCTATTTACGGTACCAATATTCTCAATACCGAAAATTTAGATATTGCGATATATGTCACTGTATCAACTTGAGGACCATTGAACAAACCTCCCATCGGTCCATTAGTTGAATAACGGATGGGCAGAGCAAAGCACAGTGCTGACCCCTAAGAAGTCATGTTTGTGTCTTGTTGATATTCGAGTCATAGCAAATAAGCAATGGTTGAAATTTGATGTGCGATCACAAGAAGTTTACTGTAGGCATACTAGGACTAAGTGTACAAATGTGTTGATATAAATTATTTTCATACGTATTGATGATGGATTTTGGGTTAATTTGGGTGGATTTATGTAAATCATGCTACCCAATAAAATGATCATCATGGGTAGCACGATTTACCCAAATCGACCATTATTTCAACTTATAAGACAATAATTTATGTTATATCCTTGCCATCTGTGCCAATATTATATGTTGTTCTGTAATAAAGTAGTCTTGTGTTATATATCAAGCCCATGTACTTACATAGAAGTCCATAATTGTGGCCCATCTAGACATAACAATTTATATCGATATTCTTTATGCCAAATTGTCATTTTTAATTTATAATCATAACGTTTTTGTGTCAAAGTTTGAAAGTTGTACCCAAATTCACCATTATTTTAACTTTTATCACAAAAAAAATTTTATATCGATATTTGTTAGTATACCATTCTTTATGCTAAATTGTCATTTTTAATTTAAAATCGTAACGTTTTTGTGTCAAATTTCCCCCTCAAAATGCAATTTTCAAGCAAGTTTGGAAGTTGTAAGCAAGGGACATAACTGGTGCATTGCACGAAATCGCTTGCTTGGGAATTCCATTTTAAATTTAAGGGACATTTTTGAAACAAAAACGTTATGATTAAATTAAAATGCCAATTTGGCATAAAGAACAGAATATTATCAAATATAGATATAAACTATTATTATATGAGTTGAAATAATGGTGGATTTGGGCAGATTTGGGTAAATCGTGCTATCAAACGATCATTGCAAATTTCAGGTTGATCACTAGCATAAGGAGCATTAAGTCGCTAACTCAATATCATCCACAATATCAAACAAGACTTATTCGTCAATTTAATCAACATTGATGTCCAATATTTATGATAAAATGAACATTTTAAAATTGGCACACAAATCGCGTGCCAGAATTAATGCTTTCGACTGTTATTTGTAATGAAAAGCTAGATGATCGAGGCTAAACATACCAAACAGGAGAATACTACCAGTGTAGACTGGAATAACCAGATGCCAAAGACTCACATTCAATTCGGACTCCTAGCGTCTTTCACCGAACTTAAAGGGACTATCCTGAATTGAACAGAGTCTCAAAAATAAAAGTCTGAGTACGTATGAAATTTAAGCGCCAAAATATAAAGGAATGGTGTATTTACCTTGTCTCAAAATTTCAGCTTGAAATATTGAGGCATTTGGACGTGAACGTCAAAGCTGCTTATCCGGACACGTATTACCCTTTTAAGATTTTGGGTCAATTCTTTCGTTGGGTGACCTGATAATCGATTCCTGTTCCTTTAGAGGTTTATACAGTGAATGACCCATGTGCTGTACTTGATAACGAAAGGTAAATTTCACCTACACATTATTCTTATAAAATAAATGTCTGGTTTTATCCAGACACCGCAGAATACAGCTTGGGGCACCGGTCCCCACTTCCAGATTAAGACTGACGGGTTTAAGTTGTTTGAAAACGTATCAAATATATTGAGTTAGTTGCTCGGCCCTAAGGTAGAGGATTTTAAGGGATTTTAACACAAAAGTATCCAGTTTTATTCTCCGAAATAATATCGGGATCGGCCCTTTAACTGATTAGAAATTACAGTAAAAATAGAAACGATTGAATGCAAATATCAGTTTATATACATTCATATATTATTATATGCGTTGCGACCCATATTAATATTTGTGTCCATTTATATAGGTGCCAAAGAATAGCGATTTAGCTCCTGAACTGACGTTTATGAACTCAACATTATAATTATAAAACTATACACCATGAATAAGTTGCTGGTCTCCATCTTCATGGAGTCCATCCGAATCGTTTTCTTCTAACAGCCATTTTGTTTCATTTTCTGGGTCGTTGTCTGCCATGGTAATTCAGCATCATATGATATTATCTTTATTCTAATAAATATCGGCTTACATTTTTACATAACTCTAACTGATGTGTTTACGTATTTGGACGGAAGCGACATGATGACGATAAGTTTGTTGTGATAGGCATACTATAAATAGTAACGTAGCTGGGCCCGACGCAGCTAGCGTTATAAAAATATATCTGTTGATAATTTTTTTTTTTTTTTTAAAGAGATATTTTATTCACTATAAATGAATGGGAGATTGGGGATCAGCCCAAATACCTATGTCAGACCCCAAACATGTAAAAACATGTCTTCAGTGTAGGATACAAATGCATCTGGAAATTAGCCAGATAGAATGATGTAAGCGACCATGATTTGATTTTATTTCGGATAAGAAACAAAATATTGAATTTAAGTCAATGTTAAATGAAAATCAAAAGGCAGGCTACACGAAGTTATGCATTTAATTTAGAACAAATCATATTAATTGATTTAATCACACTGATCAACAATGAATATTCGCTAGGCCGCTACAATCACTGATAAGATGACATCAATGCGACTTAATGAATGAGCCTCAAATATTAACTTTTTTCCACCGACAAATTAAATTCTAAAACATTTTTTTTTATGTATTAGAAAAATAAATAAAGACGTTTGACGTATTTGTAGGTAAAAATTATTTCCTATTTTAATTTAGTGTAATGGGTATTAAAAAATGAGTAAAAAAGACAGCATTCTGCCCGAAGCAGGAATGTCTTATGTAAACAATGCACGCGCCAATGAGCCAATGATTGACGACGCGTGCTGTGACGCCACGTGTTGAATGCAGTCATCTTTTACAGAGATTATTAGAAGACTTTTGTAATCCATGTGTTGGGATTGCAACATGATGATGTAAGCGACCGTACACCTGTTGGTCTCAGACTGGTAATTATTTGCCCATTGACTTCAATGTTAATTAAAATGGCTGTAACGTCACAGTCTGTTGCTTTTTGCTCAACATTCCGTTGGTTCCAATCTTTATAGGCACAATGGGGACCACATTTGGCAATATCCTCGTCATAATTTTGTAGGGGTTGACCGTTTATTTTTTTTTGCTAAGGGGATTTGATGTTGACTGGGGTGAAAATCTCACTTCCGACACATTAATGATTGCTCTGCAGAAAGACACTTTACTCCCCCCACCCCCTATCCACTGTAATATCATCAGTATTACCCAAAACTGCAATGAAATTGCAAATATGATCCCTTTTCTGCAATTGTAGACCAAAAAGTGAACCCAAAAATGCAGGAAGAGGGGAGAAAAAATTTTGGGAAAAAATTGTCTATTTACTAGTCTGAGTCCTGTTACAATAACGAGGTTCAATATTGAGAACTGAAAATTATGGTGGCTGATAGTGGCCATGTTAAATCTCGCCCTTTTCATAGCGCGACAACACGACATCACGACAGTATTGACGCAATCATACGACACTTAACTCTGTCGTATCATCGTGTTATTTTTATCGTAACGTCGAGATGTCGACTTATTGTCCTAGTCTCTTTCTACAAGTCACAAAAATACAGCTGTACTCATTACATCAGATACATATACATATACATAAGACTCGTCAAAAGAGATAACAGGAAAACGTTGATTCGTTTTCTAAAAAAAAAATGAAACATTTTGCGCCCAAAATTGAATTATATTTGGTATTACATTCAAAAAATCTAGAATCATAATAGCAGGACAAAAGTGAGTCAGCTATGTTAATTCCTTGAATAAGAAGTGGTGTCGGTAGGTATCGAACAAGTATGCATTGCCTCGTGTACGACACCCACCAATACTTATAGATTACTGAAGCGATAGTTTAGAAGCGATTTCAGAAGATTTCCAATTTATTTTATTAGAGTGGGAAGGGGATTATATAAAACCTCAAATCAGACCACATAAAATCACCGCATTGGTGTAGCACGCCATCCCAATAAGTGCAGGGGAGGTTTTTTATGAGGTGAAGAAAGCGATTTGCAGCTGTTATTGACCTTATCGCATATTCATCCGTTTGGCATCACTAATGGGATCGGGGCCTAGATGATTAAAAATAGGCCCAGTATTGCCTTCAGCTATGAACACACTCCGAAAGTCCCCTACGCACCCCCCCCCCCCCCTCTTATTTTGTTTAACAAATAATTTCGGAATCAATAAAATGGTAGGTCCCTATCAATGATGTTTGACACGACTGGAAATTAATGTGTCTAAAATTGATTAAACAACATAGGGTAGTAAATATTACATTTTGAATCCGTATCAATGATACATTTAGGGTAGTAAATATTACATTTTGAATCCGTATCAATGATACATTTACTCAAAATGTTCCTTCCAATGGATCACCATTTAACTTGAAAACAAGGGAAGCAGCCGATCGAAGAAAAAAGGATTTTAAAAAACAAGTTTCAATATGATAGTAGTGGTTCGGTCATGCATTTACATCTGTGGGTGTCATCCTTTCTTTGAAAGTAATGATTGTGCCAGATTTGAACAAAGTCCATCTAGATTCGCGGCCTGTAGGTAAAGTGTTGACAGATAAAACGTAAAAAAAAACCCAGACCTATAAAAATATATTTTCTAAAACTATTTTAATTTTGAAATTATATTATTTTCACATGTGCTAAGTGTTTTAGTGAATAGTTATAGAAAGGGTCTTGTAGATTAAGACTATAGCGCATGTGCACTGTGCAGTTTTAAACTTCCGAGACGACAAGTCGACAAGTCGATGATACGACAGTTTCGCTTTTTGTCGTGCCGTCGTATCATCGACTTGTCGTGGCGATAAGTCGATGATACGACGGCACGACAAAATCGGGTCGATGACACGACAAAATCACGCGATCTTACGACAGTTTGTTCTGTCGTAAGATCGCGTGATTTTGTCGTAAGATCGTGTGATTTTGTCGTGTCGTCGTATCATCGACTTATCGCCACGACAAGTCGATGATACGACGGCACGACAAAATCACACGATCTTACGATAAAATCGGGCGATCTTACGACAGAACAAACTGTCGTAAGATCGTCTGATTTTGTCGTATCATCGACCTTATTTTGTCGTGCTGTCGTATCATCGACTTATCGCCACGACAAGTCGACAAGTCGATGATACGACAAAACCAAACTGTCGTATCATCGACTTGTCGACTTGTCGTCTCGGAAGTTTAAAACTGCACATGCGCTATAGTCTTTATCTACAAGACCCTTCTATAAATATTCGCTAAAACACTTAGCACATGTGAAAACAATATAATTTCAAAGTTAAAAGAGTTTAAGAAAATATATTTTTATAGGTCTGGGGTTTTTGTTTTTTTTTGTTTTTTTTACATTTGATCTGTCAACACTCTACCTACAGGCCGCGAATCTAGATGGAATTTGTTCAAATTTGGCACAATCATTACTTTCAAAGAAAGGATGGCACTCTCGGAGGTAAATGCATGACCGAATCACTACTGCCACATTGAAACCTGTTTCTTTTTTTAAAAAAATCTGTTTTCTTCGATCGACTGTTTCCCTTGTTTCAAGTTAAATGATGATCTATTGGAAAGAACGTATTGAGTAAATCTACGCTATCACTAAGACGGATTCAATATGTAATATTTCTCATTACTACCTATGTTGTTTAATCAATGCTATACATGTTATTTTTCAGTCGTATCAAACATCATTGATATCATTTTATTGATTCTGAAATTATTTGTAAAACAAAATAAGAGACGTGGGGGGGGGGGGCGTATGAGGCTTTCATAGTGTGTAATCATCTAGGCCTCGATCCATTGTTTTTGGTGCTTGATATTTTGCGGGGGAGTCGCAGTGTCTAGGCAGGTAAGACGTTGGTTCGGTAACCCGAAAGCTGGGTGTTCGATCCCTTCATTGGACGAGAAAGTTCATCCAGATTTTACGACGAGGTCTTGTCAGTTGTGCTTGACAGAGGGCCTGGCACGTAAAATATCCCTTGGTAGTTGGAATTCGATATAATGGTAGGCCATAGTGCGCTGTCCTGGCAAAATTTCGCTCATAGTATGGCGTATGCACGTCTTCAATATGACAGTACTGGTTCGGTCATGTATTTACACCCGAGAGTATCATCCTTTCAGAGGATCGCGTGGCTACGTGGGCAAGACGCTGGCTAGCTAGCCTGGAGGTCGGGTGTTCGATCCCACACTGATCAGAAGTGAATATTCGCTAGGCCTCTGATAAGAATGACATCGATGCGACTTAATGAGTCCCCAATATTAACATTATTCCTCCGACAAATTTAATTCTAAAAAAATTTTTTTTATGTATTAGAAAAATAAATAAAGACATTTGAAGTATTTGTAGGTAAAAAATATTTCCTATGTAGCGTAAATGGGTATTAAAATGAGTAAAAGGCATAATTCTACCCGAAGCAGTTACGTCTTATATAAACAATGCACGCGCCATTGGTCCAATGATTGACACCGCGTGACGTGATTGCATGTGTTGAAAACAGTCATCTTTTACAGAGATATTAGACGACTTTTTTCACAGATTGGTTCGATCCCTGCATTGGCCGACAAAATTCCCCCTTGTCAGTGATGCAGGACGGAGGGCCTGACAATGACAACTGTCTAGTCGTTCGGATGGGACGAAACACCGAGGTCCCGTGGACACATTGGCGTGCACGTAAAAGATCCCTTGGCAGTTGGATTTCGATATAAGAGCGGGCCGTAGCGCCGCTTCCCGGGCAATATTCCCTCATAGCACACTGTCTTTGAAAGTAATGATTATGCCAAATTTGAACATCTAGTTCCGCAGTCTGTAGTTATACCAGAGGGTTGACAGATAACACCTTAAAAAAAACAGATCTATGAAAATATATTT